TCTAGATTAATTAATAAATAAATTTTTTAGATTAATTCAAATATTTGATTTGATTTTAAATTTTAAAGTCTAATTTTTGATGGAAAATGACCTAAACAAACTAAATGTTGTTATGGGTAAAATTTGGGTTCAATTAAATTCTAAGGTGTTTTTTTTTATTTTTACATCTTTTTTATTCTGTTTTATGGTACAATTTTTCCCGTGAACATTCCCTATCGGCCAAATGAACACGCCGTGACCGTCGCGGGAACTCCTTTCGCAATGCAATACGATCCACAATGGGATATGAACCCCTTCTCCCGGGGCCAATAAGAGCAAAACATTCAGTGGGAGGGGTGATTTCATACCAGTTAGCGGGAGGTTAAAGAAAAAGCTAATCAGATGATTCAAAGCGCCGCGGCCGGGGAGACTCCTACAACGGCTCCCGTTCAGGAGCATTCACCAGGTGGTTGCAAGTCGAAAGGGTTCCAGCCTCCCCCCCCCCCTTCCGCGGCCTATTTAAGGGCCTCTCTCGTGTGAATGAGGCCCCGCGGATAATAGAAGTAAAACAAGGCCTCTTCAGAGCGCGCAAATTAAGAGGAATCAAAAGTGGACTACTTACTTCGTGAGCCCGAGCCCTTGTCGACCTAACTAGGAGTATACAGGGTGTTCAAGGAAACCCTTCCTTGAATGGATCCCTTGCATGCAGTACTCCAATTCCACGACCGTCAAAATTTCCGGGATTTGGAACTTTTTTGTTCCGGTGTCTCCCACTCCATGATCGTCAAATGTTCCGGGATTCCCTTTAGATTTTTTCAAAAGTTCCGAGAAAGTTCCGGAAAAATTTCTGGAAATTCTCAAAAAGTTCCAGAATTCGGAACTAGTTTCGGGAAATGAGAGCACTTCTTGCACGTGTCAGAGAAAATCAGTGGCGTGCATGGCATGCTTTGCGATATATCGATTGCTATGTCATTTAAACCTATGGAAAAGGATCGATAAACAGGGTGTTTGCAGCGAACACCTTAATCATTAATACTTTACCATAGGTTTAAATGGCAAAACAATCGATACATCGCAATTCACGCCACGCCACTGGAAAAAATGTATGACTGCACACGTTCTGGACTGTAATAATAGCGGTACGCGTGAGGCGTAAGTCGAAGCGACACTGTTTAAGGTGCTCTAAGCAACTATTTTGGCGCAGACGTATTGCACGGTATCAGGTGAAAATGAAGGCGCACTAACATATGTGAATGGACTGATAACTACAAATATATAACACAATTTATGCGTAAAAATAAATTGTCCTCCATCTTCAATTCCCATCCCAACAGCCAATGAACATAAACTCTATTGATTAGTAGTAATTTTATTCGTATTTGAGAAGACTTATACATATTTATCCTCCGTTCACGAATCCGGGCTCTGCAGTTTTCTCAAACAGCACACCCTGTATAAGCGCTCCCTCAAATGCGCGGGGTGCACGCTCACACAGACACATGCGAGTTCGTGTCTACACACACAAACTTACCTACTCCAACTAGCTGATGCGTTGTTCTCTCCCCACGTATTCATATACCGAGGTCTTCTCATTTTTTTAAGCCACTCGCTCGGATTGCAAATTATTTCCATTGAGGTTTGTTTCCCCAGGTCAGTTTGTTGTAAATTCTGCGCTGCAGCCTAATTGGATGATCAAGAGCGGTAAATTAGCCCCGCAGTAGTATCCCGCAAGTTCTGCGATATCTACATTTGCATTTTATAGAAATCGGGGCTCATTATTGAACTTTGATCCAGCCAGTTTAGCGCTCAATTCTCCAACCATTGCGGCATAAGGGAGGCGGTGCTTTTTCAAAGGATTTAAAAGGAGAGGGAAATACTGAGGAGTAAGATTTGTCGGTGCTCTGAATAGTATAGTAGAGGCTCATTGTTTTATACCTTTATTTTGACCCTTTCCACTTTTTTGTTTTTTATTTATTTATTTATTTTATTTTTTATTAAGAATATCAAATTTTAAAACCAGGGATTGGTGAGTTGCCGACATCAGTCATCGAACCCAGTGCATTTTCACAGTTATCGCGGTTACGAATCAAATTAATATGATCGAACATCTTAACTGCCGTGCTAAGGAAGAACACCGTATGAAAATTCGAGAGTTGCCGAATTTCCTCTAGTAAAATGTTTAATTTTGAGGAAAGTTATCTAAAAATTTTCTCTTGAAATTTTCTGATAATTTAGATCTGATGGTGAATAAAATTCTATGACAAATCGGAAGAAAAATATTCACAGATTTCCCTGAAAATTCATGTTTTATCAAAGGAAATTTGGCAACGCCTGAAAGTTCATGCGGCGTTTTTCTTTAGCACGGCAGTGAACGCACCAACTACAGCTCCCAAGCCGCTCTCATTGTCTAATCGGGATTTTGAAGGCGAACTTGTCCGTAGAGGTACGAAATCAATCGGATCGAAACACCGTAAACGTGATGGATTCTGTTAACTTGGGACTTTTGCGGATTGTAAAAATTTTCAGAATGACGAGTTTCAGTCGGGTCAAAAATATCGATTCTCAGTTTCCGATGCCGCAGCTTGCAATAGTGCTTTCAAATGTTTAACTGTTTTTTTCTTTTTCTTCCTAATTCTCGATTTATTGTTCTTTAACTGGAAAAGGTTCTCATGAAAATGACTTTGAAATTTTTGAACGTTCTCAGCACCAAAAAAAAACAAAATTAACTCGACTAAGTTATGATAGGCCACAGTATAGTCTCGAAGAAAAAAAAAGATACAACAAAAATGTACCAAAAAACGGTTTGCGAGGGGTGAGTCTATGGTACGCGTGGACTTAAAATCGCGAAAAATCCAAATCTTGGCTGATCCTAATTTAGAGATATCGCAATTTGAAATTCTCATATTGAATGCAAGTTTTCCATCGATTTTGATTCGCTTTTTTATTTATTTGTCCATTGAATTGGTGTTGATCGGTTCACGTTTTTATTTTTCGTTCGATCCATGTCGATGTAATACATACCCTCCCGTTATGTGCAGACTACCTATCATACTCTTTTTTTTTAATTAAACAATTCGCCTTCTGTTGCGTCGGCAGCAATTGTTGTTATGAATACGTTGTGCGTGCTAATTTCAACTCTTTACATACTCGACTCTCTGAAGGCGTTTTATGTGCGCCAGTAGCGCAATCTGTCAGATAACGAACGAAGTAGGGATTGAGCAATTCATTCAATCTCACTTCTGTTGTTCTCCAACAGAGTGCTCTACTCTCGCACATTAAACGCCTTCAAAGAGGCAAGTATGTAATGAGCTGCAATGAGCATGCACAACATATTCGCAACAACAATTGCTGCGGACGCATTTGAAGGCGAATTGAAAACAACCGTGTAATACACGTTGAAGAACACTTTCGCTCTTTAATTCATATTGTCACCAATAGAAAGTTGTATTTTAGGGTCTTTTCATGGGGGATTCTCGAAAAACTTTTCAACATAAACTAAGTTTAGATGCAAAATAAAATATACCGCACAACAAATTTTCAGTCTTGGCGGGAAGTTAAGGCTAAACTTCCCGCCAAGGCTAAAGAATAGCACCACAATGCTCTTGAAGCCATTGGAAAATGCGATAAAAATGTACCCAAAAACGGGTTGCAGGGGCCGAATCTATGGTAGGTACTTGTAATGTTTTCAGTGCTTCAAAACTTTACTTTCGAGACTTCCACAACTTAGCTCCGACCGATGATCCCACAACCAGTGGCGTGGCGTGAATTGCGATGTATCGATCGTTATGCCATTTAAACCCATGAAAAAAGATCGATTATCAGGGTGTTCGCAGCGAACACCTTAGTAATCGATTCTTTACCATAGCTTCAAATGGCGAGATATCGATAATCGATTATTCACGCCACGCCACCGCACAACATCATTTCCATCTATGAATTCGAAACTATCGTCTACAATGTAGGCATGTACTTACATGTACAGGGCCGGATTAAAGGGGTGGCCACATGGGCCGCGGCCCATGGCAGCAAATCTAAGGGGCTGCAAAAATTTGCAATTTTTTTAAGTGTAGGTTAAAAAAAATCGGATTTAGACACACACACACACACACCCTCACAAAAAATACAAATACAAACGAGAAAAGGCGACAAAATCTCTCATTTACTGGGAGTAATTTCTAATTTTGTCGTCTCTTAGTGATACAAGATACAGTACCTTCAATTAGTCGAGTTAAGAGAGAAACCAAACACACAATTTGGCCTGGAAGGGCGCGACTTAGAGAAAAATGATAACGAGGACTTGAGATGAAAAGGAGAAGCCCTCGGAGCGGGAGTGGCGATCGGCATGTAACACATATTAGCGCCTACAAGATTGCACGAATACTTCTCGCATTGCATCAAACACAGTGCGGTCATTGCGGTCAGCGTGAAACGGATAGTGCCTACAAGACTGTGTGAATGCTTCACGAATTGCGTCCAACACAGTGCGTTCAGCAGCGGTCGGCGTGAAACGCATAGCGCTTACAAGACTGTCTGAATATTTCACGCTTTGCGCCAAACATGGAAGGCCAGAGGTAGGTATACGAAACTTAACTTTCGCCTAAAGTTCCGTAAACGTTTGCTAGTAGTGTTGACAGGGCTTTCCCAAAAAATGTGTTCAACACGAGTAAATGCGTCTTATGCACCCCTCCCCCGCTGGCACGTTCACTTGATGGTTTTTATCGAGTTTCAAAACGAATGAGAAGGGGGCGGCAAAATACAAGCGGCACATGGGCGGCAAGTAGGTGAATCCGGCCCTGGTCTACATGTCTTATCATGACGTGGATTTTTAATGATTCAGAGGATTATTGGTAATATTTCACAATGCTTTACTTAACTCTGCAAGTCCTCAACATGTATTTAAAATTCAGGGGCTAAGATTTTTTTTTTCAACTATAAATCTTGGGTTTGTGATATAGTGCCTTTGCATCAGAATCTTTTCAGATTTCATTGAAGTCTCACAAAGGTTGTATTTTTCTGTCCAGGTGCACAGCAGTTTTCCCGAAAGCATCCACTAGCATGTTGGCTCTCGACCATGTTGGTTGTCTTCGCTGGTGGTATGCTGGCAAATGGTCTCTTGGGCGAACCTATTCTGGCGCCCCTCAAAAACACTCAACAACTTACTGTCGCAACTGTTGTTTGGTAAGTTTTCTTCTCGTTAGATTGATAAATGGAGGTACTTTCAGTGAGTAAAAATATTCTAAAAAATGATCTGAATAGAAGATTTTAGAAAATTAGATTTTTGTACAGCGTTTCGCGGAAAGGACCAAGCTACATCAGCTATTGTCAAATTTAATTGACCAATTTTATTTCTTTCAAGAGAATGTTTGTGCGGATGCCTTCGAAAATTATGAAGAATTCGCTCCGTACTTTGCAGAAAATTCACTGTTTGCACAAAAAATCACACACCCGTTTTCATGTAAAGTATTAAACTGATCAGGATGCAATACTTTCAATAATTGGTAACATTATTTTCCAAAATACACTCTATTCATAAAAAATAAACTTGAGGAGTAATACACTGCTCCTAAATTTTAAAAAGTGGCAGCTATTTTTGCGTTTCTGGAAAAAGTTGTTGAAAAAATCTCGAGATGAGGCCAAATTAGAACATGACTTAGGTAGGTATTCTAACTTTACCACACTTACCGGCCGAAGTACTTGTTTAGGTACTCAAAACATTATAAAAGAAACTCCTTTTTTGGTCATTTGATGTAGTTTAGTTGGACATACTTTTTAAGAACTTTAGACAATCAGAAGATGGACCTGAATTATTGACTTCCTTTTAAGCGAACAGCCCTAATTATCCGTTTTGGCATGTCATGTGGCCTGCTTTTCTTCTCTTATCCCTTGTGTGTCAGCTGTCATTATATTGCTTCTTGTTTTCATCTTTTCCAGGTATTTAGTTTTTTACACACCATTTGACATTGGCTACAAAACAGCGAAATTTCTACCCCTCAAACTTATTTTTTCTGCCATGAAGGAAATTTACAGGTAAAATTGAGTGCCTTATCCAATTGTCAACCACATTGTTCGACGTCAAAAATATAAAATCTGTATTTTCTTAGATTATTATCACCTATTCACCGCACAAGGAGTGCGAAGTCATTTGATATTATTGGTGGGGAGGGGAAGAAAAAACAAGCCTAGAAATGTATAGTCTTACATTTAAAAAAAGAGAAGATGTAAAAATATCACAAAATTAGTAAAAAGCACAATGAGATCATATCTGAACATATATTATGTGCATCAAACTCTTACTTTTCAAACAATTATTATTGTGATTTGGTGGGAAAAACTTCTGTCACATACAAGACTATTTATGGTAGGTACTTACATTCTTTTTTTTTTAAGTATACAAAACATTGTGATTTTTATGTAATCTGATCTTAATCTCGTTGGATTTTGACCAATTAAATTTAAATAATAATATTCGCAATTTAAATCAATTTTTCATTTAATTGTGTCTCGAGAATATTCCTTAAAATTTGAATTTTTTTTGTCACAGGTGTAAAAAAATTCATGATGGAGTCACCCATGCAGCAAAATTGTACCCAAACGCCTACGTGATAATGATTCTAATAGGAACATTGAAAGGTTTGTCAGCAAAATGGTTTTCATCTTTTTTTATGGAATATTTTTTTCTTATGAGTCGTATGCATTCGTTCTTTGTTTTACAAGTCCTGATAATTGGCACATTTGTCACTGAATGACAATCTTTTTTTTTTCAAATATTATACCTTCTTAATTTTAATGTGTGGTCAACCAACACCATGGTACCATGTGTGGCAAACTTGTCAAAATATAATGTAAAATTGCAAATGATCTGATTTTAGTTGATAACGGCATCAGTGGTCCACATCATCAATTAGCAATAGCTCCAAAATAAACCATTATAATTTGAAAATAATAATAGCACTCAGTTTTTTACGATTGATATGCCCTTTTTTCTTGTTCTTTTAGCCATTATTTTTGAATTTTTGAGCGATTCTGAGTTCTTTGCTTTTGATTCTAGGCAATGGTGCTGGTTTCACAAAATTAATTGAACGATTGCTTCGAGGAGTTTGGACACCAACTGCAATGGAGTTCATGCAACCCAGTTTGTAAGTTTTTAGTTGATTTTTGTTTGCTAAATTAAAAACGATTCATGTAGTGATTACAAGAAAGTTTTGGAATAGGTTGTCACAGATATTCTCCATAACATGTAGCATAACCAAGCGTAGTAATATTGATGGATGTTGATAGAGAAATCGGATTTCAGCACACCATATCAGACACAATAGAAATCACAGTTGAATATCAGTCACGTTTCTTTGGCTCTTACGCACAGAATCATCTGAATTTTCAGCGCTGGCAAAACTGAGCCATTGCCATGTATATGAACCGTTATCTGTGAAAACAGCGGATGTCACATTTTTAAGTTTTGAGAAAATCGAGTTCTAAGTTTTCAAAGCTGTGCGTTTCAATAACCATGCTGCAAATAGGTATCAGTCAAAGAATTTCTTATAGAACCAACCCTCTTTCACAAAATGAGCTTAAAAAATTTAAATTTGAAGCAAATGTCAAGGAGATACAGTGATTTTAAAAAAAAGACCATATCCGCTTTTTTTATGGAGAACTTTTTTAAGCATAAAATGAACTATCCAGCTAATGTAACGGGGCAAGAGCGATTGATATTGATCAAATTATGATTACTGTTAAGTCTTTTAATGATTTTTCGAAAGAAGTAAATATTTGGTAATAACTTCTAAGAAAAATAAGAAACTAACCATATTATCAGTATTTTAAAACAGGGAAAAAATTAAAAAGGGTGCCGTCTCCCAAAGACCTACATTCAATAGGTCTTACTAGCTTTTATAGCTATAGTTATGTGCTCATTCATTGAGGAGATCAATGACCTTCAGCAAATTACTTACCTCAATATTATTATTTCAAAGAATTCTGACATCCACCGATTTTTTATGTAACACGATTTTCTGTTCATATCTTTAAAAAAAATTATGCCAGGAGTCTGAAACTTGGTACTATCACTCTTGAAGGTTAGCGGACTCTATAAAAGCGTTATCCCTAAAAATGGCGGATGTTTGATATCCACTGTTTTTACAGATATTGCCCCATATGTTCAGTGAGCCACTCAGAAAATGAAAGAACATGGTAAAAAGGCCTAGAAAAGGAGCTCATCGCTAGGAGCTCTGAAACGGTTAGCTGCTCCTTAAATCAGTAGCCTCACCAGCGGGCCGATTGTTGAAATTTAAAGCAGCTGGATAAGACATCGAATTGCGATATATTGCATGGTTGAGATAGGGCTATGTCTTGTTGTGTCAGGCTGACATAGTTTCAATAATCGGACCGCAGGAATCATCTCTTTTCATGACATAATGTTCAACATAGCTTATGGACGACATTTGTTTAAAAAACGCAAGTATTTACTACCCTGCAATTGGAACGCACCTCGACCTCAATTACTGTAAAAAAAATTCAATTTTTTGCCAAAGAAGATACTGGGGCAGTTTAAAATAACATGTTACAAATATTTTTATCTCAGGTTTTTTTTTAAATAGACAATTCTTGTAAATAAGTAAATCATATACTATAACTTATGATGTATGTTTCCTTTCTTTTTTTTACAGTCCAACAAAATCTAGTCTTGTCGCTTCAATCATTTTTGTTCTGGACAAGAAAACCGACCTGATATCAGCTCCACATGCTCTAGTGTATTTTGGCATTGTTATTTTCTTCGTTTACTTCAAGGTAAAGCTAAGCTCATTTTATCTTTGCTTTAAATGTAGAGTTTTCAGAAGAACTATTGTAGGGCAAGATGCTTTTTTGCAGAGAGCTGACCTAACATAAAATTTCAAATGGTTGCGTTCAGCCACACCAGTTGCTTCAATAGATATATTGTAAGGTACCTACTGTACATCAAATTTGGTATTCATTCGAATATTATAATTCAATTTGTGCTACCCAGAAGTAATATATTTTGGAGAATAATAAACCGAAAGTAACGGAAACTAAACAAAACCAAACAAATAGGAAATCAAGGTAACAAACTATGAGGTAAATAATGAAAATAAAGAAAGCCGAAACTAAAAAACTCAACCTCACAAAAATTGCCAACGCATTTTGGGGCTCCCGGTCGGAATGTCCTTGAAAAAGGGGCCGGGGAGCCCCGAAACTCGTCGGCAATTTTAATTTATTTTTGTGAGTTTGAGTTTTTTAGTTTCGGCTTTCTTTATTTTCATATTTTGGAGACCCCGCACTTCGACATTTTGTCATGTAATCATGTCATGTTTGCTCAGCGTTTTCCATTGTTTCCTGTGATTATATTTTAATGCTAGCTTTTTTTTTATTTTCAGCTCTCATCAATTCTCCTCGGAATCCACGATCCATTCTTACCGTTCGAGAATTTATTCTGCGCCCTATTCCTGGGAGGAATCTGGGACTCCTTAAGTAAAATTCTCTCCCGCGGAGGATCGAAGGAGGGCGAGAAAGGTGATGCCAAGAAAAAGGATTAATTGAAGGATTAATTAATGGTGACTGCCCATAAAATTGAAATCATCTGTGAGCCAACGAGCACAATTTTTGAGGATACAGGGATGAACGAAGCGATTTTCGATCGACCCAGTTTAAAGTTTAAAACTGTGAACTTGAGGAGAAAAACCAGTATTATTTTTATTCTTAGGAGATTCTGCATTTTTATGAATTAAAAATTCGTGAAATAATGCACTATGTTTTTGGAAATAAGCCCCTCTCCTGTAAATTCAGTGATGAGAGAACTCAAGGATGAAACATGAGGAATGTTTCATCGGACTCCCTCCATTTGCCATCTCCTTACATATAAATGGATGGTAAGGAAGCTCCAAGTTTCCTGAACTTTATACCAAATTTTTCTCTATACGTTAAAAAAACCTATCGCTTTAGTTACCTTTGACATTTGATGAAAGCGAAGTTGGTATGTCAATACCTAATTCTGGTGATTTCTTTCCTAAATGAACTTTCATTGTTAAATATGTTTGTTCAAATTCTATTTTATTAATTATTTGCCTGCTGATTAGTGGGTTCTCTCATCAATTTTTCGTCTCCAAACATTTTACCAACGTGTTACTTTAGTTTTATGACTTAACCTTTAAGTCATAACCTTAGGCTACTTTTTTACTAAGTTCATAAGCTAGTCATTAAATTTTTAAAGTTTAACTGTAATCTTCCTTTTCTTTAATAATGGAAGAAATTGGGGCAACTCTTTGTTAGAGAAGTTAAGGTCCCTATTTATCATATCTAAACAAATGGCCCTCTCCCTTCTTACTAATGCGGAGACTAGAAAGTCAGTTCAGATACTTACAACATTAGAAATTCTAGTTTTCAAAATTCTAAACGTATGCGTGTACTATTTTTCATTTTTTAATTTATTTCATAATTTGTTTTCGATTAGACATTGGGGAAATTCTGACTAAAATTTCATGGCAACAATTTGAGATGCATTAGTCTTTTGGTAATCTGCAGCTAATATGTGGGTGATTACTGCAAGTTGTACTTGCCAAAAGTAATTTGAACAATTGAACTTGATGTTTATGAGAGACCTGTTGTGTGTTCATGATTGAGATGCCTCTTTCAATCTTGTATATTGTTGATATGATTAAGAGCGGCTATTACCACGATTAATAGCATGGGATGAGACCCAACGATTTTTTTAGCTGTCAGGATTATCAAGTTAATCAATTTGAGAGTTCGTCAGAGGAGAATCAATTCTGTTTTCACGAAGCATCTCAAATTTTAACATGCAACCTGATTCTACATTAAAAGTGTAAAAGAGCTAATTTTTTAAATCTAAGATTATATGTAAGACCAACCTAGCTTTAACAGTTTCAGTGATTCAAGTGATGAAAATCATTGATACGTCTCTGAGGTATTGAGGTGACGCTTGCATTTCAAGAGCATGCAGGGAGAGAGTATGTTGTGTGTAAAAATCAGTGCAAAGAGTTTGCAGCGGTTAGAGTTGCCGTCTTAAAAACTTTTGACAAAGGGAGCACATGCTGATCATGTAGATTTACTTTTCTGTGATATATGCACAAAGTTCTGCTTTTTCTGCAATAGTTTATGTTGACAGAGTTTTTCAGCCATGATGTTAAGTTGCAAGTCAATCAGTACCTTTAACTTGCAATTCATCCCAGGAACTGCTTCTCTTGTTTGTATTTTTTCTCCCTAAGATCTCTCATTTTTCTGTTATGCACAATTTCAAACGCAGAATTAATTTACGAAGTTACCGTTTTTCTGTTTCCCCGTTGTTAAACTCTCTACCTCTGGTTTTTTCTAAATTGGCCTCCAGTCCTCCATTCTCATTCAGATTTTTTTTCCCCCAAATTACACTTTAAGCAAGAAATGGACTTGTCAAAAAACTAAAATTCCCTGAGAATAACGTGAATGTACCTGTTCACTATTAAGGTTATAATCTCTATCCCTCCTTGAATGAGGAGGCTCCCTTCTCCATTATTGGTACTGCTTACAATGTTGTTAATTAACTGTAAAAGTGATGCACCTAAGGGAAAAGGGACTTGAGGTGACTTGCCAAATTTTTCAGAAATTCGTTTTTTTCACGTTAAGTCCATTTCTCCTTTGATGCATCACAAAAATGCCTCAGACTTGGAAAATTAGGAATCTCAAGGTTTCATCACAGGTTGTTTCCAAAGTTTCACTTTGGAACTAGAAGCAGGATTTCTGTGGGTGCAATCCTGATTTCCCTGATTTGATGAAACTTCGGTTCGTTTCCGATGAGTTCCTTGCTTTTAAACTCTGTGCTACATAAAATTCAGCTATTCGTACGCTATGAAGTATGCATGCCTTTAAGGAGCTAGATATTCATTCAAAGAGAGATCAATTATTTTTGCTCCATCTGTCTGCTAAACATTTTTATAACTTTGATGAGACATGACCCTTATCTGACCAGTGTTTAAACCAAAAATATTTGTAAGTTATTTTCATCCTGTTTTTGTACAAATTGAAATAAAAAAGCCTAAACCTTAGTTGCTTTGTTTGTTTATATGCATTTTTAGAATAAGTACATTATGGTTATACCATTTTGAAACGCGGAGTTGATTCACCCCTGATCTTGCTCAAAAATTTTAAATTGATGAGGGGTTAAAATCGTCAAGATGACATAAGAACGTAACTGCACTTCGCGATGAACCTTCTCGTCCACATAACTCAATGCTTTTTGGAGATTATCTTCAAGTGTACTTATGCCCTTACGTCAGCCGAGCAACAAAATACTCTCCATAAATAACATGGAAACCCCATATGTTCTTGGGAAGAGTTTTGAGGATATAGAAATAAACCAGTTTAAATAATTCTTTACCGCCTTTACCGCATCCAAAGGTTTTTTAATATAAAAATAATCAGAATACACGTTTTATATCAATAACAATGAGGAATTAAAATAAGAGCTATAACAAAAAAGAGAGGAAAACAAGAGAACATGTCTAAGATTCTGCAATAATTTTCTCTTCCTGAAAGAGAGAGGACTGAAAGAAAAATGTAATAGGTAATGATGATCTCAAGCCATTGAACTTTTTAACAATATTCGCTAAAAATGATTCTGACTTTGAGAAAAATGTAACATTGTCAATCTACTGACTAAAATTAGAAGATACCTATTCTTGTAAATGATGAGAATCAGTTAACTACGAAGAGGGTAGAGCTTTGCTCGAGAATTAAGATCTTTGACAAATCACAATGCGACTAAAGGACACGCTTTTGTTCTACGTTTTGGATCAAATCGTCTAGTAGGCTTCAGATTCATAATATTTAAAAGAATTAAAGTTGATATATCTAGTAAAAAATCAAGTAAAATTAAAAAAAAATAGAAAGTCAATAAAAGGTACATAAGTTCAAAACACTGGAGCAAACACTTCTCGGGCAATAAACACAATAACAAAAATAAAACTTAATTTAAAAAAAAAAGAGGCTTAAAGTGTCAGATAAAGACACAGGGATGTGTATATGTATATTGCTCTAAAATTTGAGCTTCCTGAATTAAATCAAAATAGTTCTCTCATAAACATAAAGGAAAAAAACTGAGGTTGCTAGTTTTCTAGGAAAACACAATGACAGTAGGTGTGTGAATAAAAGAGACCAATAACGGATATATAATTTGTCTTTATAAGAAAGTTAAGAAAATGATTAAATTTCTAAGTTGGGAATTAAAGGAAGAATTTACTGCGATTAAGTAAAGTTACAAAAATTCCAATCCAGGGAAAAGATAAACTGGACAAAGCATTACAATAGGCTGGCAGTGTTTGCATTTCTGCATGAGCTTTGTTGATTGTATCAGGAATCATGAGAAAATGCAGTTATTGTAAAACTTCGTCCATTCCAGATGAGATATTTTGCACAGTGAAAAAAGAAAATGAGCCAAGCTTGATAAAACAAAAGTATATTAAAACTTACTACATGCATGTTCTTCAGCCGGTGTTGAGAAGCCATACTGCAGGAGCATATTCTATGGATCGAAATGGGACTTCTTTCTTCTATAAAGCTTCTATGAGGCTCAAGTTAAAGAGGCATATGCAAGGAAGGTGTTCCAAGGGCTGTTGGTCATTTTAGAGCAAAAAATGGGTTTTTCGTCCCATAAAATGCTATTCTTAGAGCATCACTTATAGGATGTAAACTAATCTTGGATAGTGGTCCTGCAATATTTTTTGCTCCAGGGCTTAGTTTTCGAGAAAATCATGATTGAATGGACAAGTTTACTAGCAGGAAGGCTGCCCACTTGCAACGACAACGTCCGGCTTTGGGTTGAACGACACATTCAGACTTACTTTTTGCTCTAGGTCATCACCATGAGTGCATTCAAGTTTTCTCGAAAATTAAGACCTGCAGAAAATAATTGCATAAAACCATTTTCCCAGCTTATTTTATACCAGCTGCAATGGTGCCCTGTAAATAGCACCCTCACTGGCCAAAAAGCCAAGTTTTTCGCTCTAGTAGATTCAAGACCCCCCTGACACCTCCTGAAATCCCCCTGTAACTTGAGATTTGGGTACTTTTGAGGCTATGGATGAAATCACTGCTAAAAATAAAGGGGAAGGGCCATTTCTTATGAGTTAAGGTTCATTAACGTTGCCTAAATTCAGAAAAAAACTATGATAACCTTGAAAGATTAGGGCCGTGGCTCCTACTGAGGGCACTTGGGGGGAAAAAAAATTAAGAAAAAGTAAAGTCTCATTATGATCCATATCGAACACACTCCTGTGGTACAGCTCTTTAACCCTGAGACACCCTGTATAAACACTAGCCGAAAACAGTTTATTGAAACATCAAGATGAAAAATAAATATTTTATCATTTTAGTGAGAGAAAATTATCTCGTTTTTTTTTTTTAAATTATGGAGAGATTTCTCCGACAGATTGTCACAACACAAGAACTGAGATTCATCTTCTAGGATTAGAACCATTTGATACAGTTCTTTCAACCTTTTAAACGGGTTCTATATTAATTTCAGGAGAGTTTCCATGTCCTCCACTAATACTGAGCGGAAAATACATATAAGTAGGGATATAATAAGTACAATTCCATGATAAAGTGAACACGATTGAGGATACAATCAGTTTTGAGAGAAAAACAAGGGGGAGATGAAAAGATCAAGGTTTATACCGTCTATTTAGCGATTCTGGTCCAATATTTAATAAAAAAAGATTAATTAGGAGAGAACTGAAGGAAGCACAAACTAGAGTAAAGAGGCACAGTCTCAAAATATATGGAATATTCTTTCAACAAAGAATTTTGGAATATCGCTTAGAAATCTGAAAAACAATAACAAAAAAAAATACTTCCTAAATTATTTTCATTAGTTCGATAGTGTTTGAAATAAACATTAAGCTTCAGGAAATTCTGAACTCTCGACTGATGGTATGGAGAAACTGTCAGGTCTATAAGCAAAGGCAACGACTCCTCCGATCAAAGCAGTGATCCCACCAATTACTGCTCGCCATGGAATGCGCTGAAAATATATTGGCGAAATAAAAATTAAAAATACCTTCATTAAATTTTTAAAAAAAGCAGAAGCCAAAAATTTAACTAAAAAATTAAATTAATATGAAATTAATTTCTTTACATTTTTAATTACACTGCACACTGACTTCAAAAGGATAACACTTAGAATATGATACACTAAAAAGTGGCTGATGAAGAGGCTCTAGTACAAAGGAAGTAAAAAATAATTTTTCAATTTGGCTGAAGACCGCTATTTCACTTAAATCGTGAGATACTAAAACAATGGTTGGTAAAAATACTTAAATATAGGGGAGGTAAGAAATAAATCTTGCGATTTTTCTCTCAATAATTCTCCCTGCTACTATTATTATTGGTGTCTTGGGTGAGAATGTACTGACAATATCTTGGGTAGTAATTATGAGGAGTACGATGAAATATGGAATAAGAGGGGAGTTTACAATGTTGTAGTGGCATGTATTTTAACACATAAATGTGAAGTTTGGCAGCTGGAGAAATGAACGCAGGATATGCTAAGGCAACGGAGATAGCTTTCTGAAGGAGGTCAGCAGGGATTTTTTTGGGACATTGGGTCGGTAATGATAGAGTGCATCAGATCATGAAAGTCGAAAGTGACATCGTCAGGACCAAACAGTTAGTTAAGTGTAGTCATGTAAGTAGAATGACGGAGGAAAGGCTGCCAGAGAAGATGCTCGATTGAATTCTTCCTAGGAGGATACGAAGGGAACGCCCTGTGAAGGGATGGCAAGAGGAAGCTTTAAATGAAGGGGGAGTGCTAACTCCCTGAAGGACTGTGGAAGAACAGGATACTCTGGCAGTTAGGTGACCCAGTATGCTGGATAGTGCTGTGAAAGCGGCCTAAAGAATGTGTGATGGATACACTTAGGGGAAAAACAATTAAAAAATTATCATAATAAAAAAAATTTAAGAAAATAAAACGATGTCATCACATACAATGTATTGTACTTCAATCCTTCAATTATGACAATCTCTCTTAGAAATCTCTCCTTAATTCTTAAAAAAATGCTAATTAACTTCCTCCTTACAGTTATGAAGAATTTACTTTCTATCATGGTATTCATCACAGTTTTAATGGCATGCATCAATGTCAACTAAATGGGCATCACAATATTATGCACCAACTTCCATGAGCTGCTTATTGGTTGCAAAGGAATTGAAAGGAATGGGTTTGCTTTACTTATTACAAGGAAGTCTTCTGATGATTTGCACTTCTATATATGGACGTATTTCTACCAAACAGACCTATGTGGAGGTGAGAAATATGGGGTGTGCTTGTCGAAGCTGCATAAGAAGCAATGTTAAAGTGGGCGTGATTCCTTTTGAAGAATTGGAAAAGCGGGATTTTACATTCTATCAAACAGACCTATGTGCCAACTGAATGCGGGATTCATGAGCCGCGGGCATGGCAAGAGAGCGTTGTGGACAGGGCTCATGAGTTAATGACCACGACTACCGCAACCACGAGGAACGTGATGCCGGCGTCCTCCTCCGTTGACGTCACTGGCGCTTTATTATTCTCATTCACTCTTACGGCGAGAGAACGAACGAGCACACCCCATATTTCTCACTTTCACATAGGTCTGTTTGGTAGAAATACGTCCATATATCACTCAAAACTAACAATAGTAGTTGAAAAACCAAAATGCTACACTGAAAATTAACTGCAAAATTTCCTCTTAAGGAATCTGGGTGATGTTGCTGGGTAGAACAGATCTATATTTGATCCATAAAAACACAATTAACGGAAACTTGCTCACGCATAAAACTTGAAATCTTTACATGGTAGCAGGAATGTAGAAACATTTTGATCATGCAATCAGTTGCGTACAAAGGTTAGAAGGCAAGATTGCGCTAATAAAAAAAAGGCATGGTTCCTGCATAATTGAGGTAAAAATGGCAGTTTTTTCAAATAATTGTGGTAGCATGTCCCTAAATTAAGAGCATAAAAATTCATCATTTTGAAAATTTGGAGGAAAGAGGGATTTTTAAGACAAAAAGCATAGAAAACTTCCTGCATATCTGCATGCTAGCATCTTTTAGAGATATCAATAAAGTTGAACCTTACTATTTTGTCTAGAGAAAAGTTTAAAATGAAGATAACTGAAAGCTACCTACCGAGGAAACACTTTGACTGGGCTTTGACTGCGTAGTAGATTTGTTTTGACCCAACATTTTCTTGTACAAATTTTGTTCCACTTTAATGTCTGACTTCTTCTTTGCTTGAAGACGAGCTAATTCATTTTTGATATCCTTCGAATCTGGATCAAGTTCTAAAGCCTGCTTTAAGTACTTATAAGCCTCGTCAGTTTCGTTTTTCTTTACTAATACCTATGGAAAGGAAAAATGGCACGACAGTGAGTTTCAATGCATGATTCTAAAATTAGTTTAAATAATGAATATTCCATAAATACAAATCAACAAGGAATCAATTCCTGAACTCAGAAGAGCTTCAGAGGCTTTTGAAAGTAACAGAATAAAAGTTAAAGTTGGAGTATGAAATAGAATGCTTCTCATTAGCTCGCTACTTGTGAAGTCACATCAAGTACCAACTACTGGTTTCAACCACCACAGATCAAATGTAAACAACATGACTAGACAGCTGCAGTACTTACGTATTAATACGTAAAGTCTTTCATATTCGTAATCCTGATATGAAATGTATCAATTTTTAAAAGGAAAAAGTGAAGGAAACAAGTCGTAGACCTTCAGTAGTAGATCGCAGGAGGATATGACCTCACCAAGTGGGATGTCCTAGAGTGTAGGCAGCTACGTTGGAAACTAACAGAGAAAGCCAATTCTCTAACTGGCGTCACAAATATGTTGGCGCTAGATTTTTCCGTTGGAAATGCTGTTGGATTTTGAAACTCTTTTTCTCGAGTTGGGTTATAATAAACTAATATGAAAACTGTTACCTAACATATGTTTCCTCATTTTCTTAGTAATTTCAGACAATCAATTAAAAAAACCAAGAGCAATAACTATAGTCGACAAAAATATTCTGGATTTCTGCAGCTGTATTCTAAATTAATTAGTCCAGTTTGGACATTTTTCTTGAAAATCAGGGGAACATTATATTGACGCAAAATAAAATGATTTTGGTAAAGGTAGCAGAGAAACAAATTGAACTGCCTCTGAATGGGTGCCCTTACCTGTCCTTTCCTGAAGAGAGCTTTCACATTTTTGGGCTGGGCCATGAGAACGTTATTTAGAGATTGTAGTGCCGCATCGTACGCTTCTATTTTTATTTGACACAATGCTAGATTGTTGTATACCTTAAATCTGTCTTCTAATAATTGGGTGATGGCATCTTCACTTGACTGAAATAAAACGTTACAAATTATCAAACCAACAGTTTTACTTATGCAATGGGCCACTAGACAAGGTACGAATTTAAGCAATCTGATACATATTTATTAACCAGAATTTCACGTAGAACACGATTAGCGCAATGAATATTACTGAAACTAACTCCTAACGAAGATATCAACGTTTTTATTTCACATTGGGTACGAGGAATTTGAACTGCCCGCTCACAAGAAACTCAAAGGTCTACGTGAGTCAAATCGCGCACTGCAACGGTTTCAGCAAGCTTCTCAATTAAGCAATGTTCATTTCCCACCATGTGTTGTTCAAATTATGAGCAATTTGCTATAGCTGAGCCAAAGCGTCAAGATTGAGGTTGCCACATTTTTAAATCGCAGATACTGTCATGATAACGTTTAGCGCGCGATGTGAATCACGTAGAGTATTGAGTTTTCATGAGCGGGTGGTTTGAATTAACGCATCAGGAATCATTAAATATCTTCGTAAGGAGTTAATTTCGGTAATTTTCGTTGTGCGTATCGTGTTTTACGTGAAATTTTGGTTAAGAAACTTGTATCAGAATGCTGCAATTCGTACCTTGTCTAGTGGTCCATTGATAGATAAAATTTCCCCCAATAACCTCCAACCCAGAGCATGAAGAATCTTTTCCATGTTTGAGCATTACCTTGATTTAGTAAACCAAACACTCGAAAAAGGAAGGAACCTATCAGTGTTCCAATCCAGGGTGTCTACTAAAACAGGCTGGCCAAAAATCAGTACTTTTACAGTACTTTTTCAGTACATTTCCAAGAAATTCAGTACCTCCTCAACAGAAAAATTCCTGAATTTTTCAATACCACTATTTGACGAAATTCAAAAAATTTCAAAAATTAAAATTTCTCTCTCAAATTATTACTAAAATGAAAAAAAATGACAAAATTCCGAACCTTGTGCGAAATTATTCCGAACTTTTCCAATACTTTTGGACTTCCCTTACAAAATTAGTACTATTTCCGGAATTTCTGAACTTGCAGACACCCTACAATCATATCTCAATATTTAAATTGATATATTAAACTTAAGGTGGAATAGATACAAAAATTTCCAGCCGTGTGACTACATAATTAACTATCGAAAAACAATGGAGCTAAAAATAATCACCTCATCATCGGTGGCTACATTGGAGTCTAGATAGTCCAGTGCTCTTCTGTAGCACTGTATAGCCAAAGTGAATTCTTTCCGAGAATACCACCAGTTGCCTCTTTCTTTTTTTTTGTTCCTGAAAAAAGAAAACAATCGATGAGGACAAATTTATAAAGAAAATGAGATGCTGGCCAAGCTTTTGTTAAATTGCTTCACACGGCCAAAATAAAAAATTCTTAGCTCTTGGGTTCCTTGTGCTACATCATGTTTTTATAATCTTTCTTGCATCATTTTCAGTTATCTACATTAGACTTATCATTACTTGCATGATTTTTATTACATTGACTGGCACATGTAAACTCATAAATCAAAATTTTTTCTGCTTATTTTTCCTTTTGCCAGTCTTGTAGATACCGCATATATTCATAATTTTTCATTTGTCAAGCTAACAAGACAAAAATGGAGCTTCTGCATACGTCACCCCATCGAAAACTTACCCTATTGAGCTCCGCTCAGCAACTTTCAGTTGTTCTATGTCAGGACCAGGCTCCACTTTAATTAATTTCATTGTATAGTGTAAATTGGCATTAGGAGGTACTTCTGGTTTATCGGGCTCTTGACGACCAATCTTCCCAAAGCCAAAACGAGGTCCGACAAAAACTTCCGCTACTTCTCCAACATCCATCAAAGCAATAACAAAATCTAATCCATGAATAACCTGCAAAGATGAGACAGTAAATTTGTTTTAAAAATATTGCCTTCCACTATAAAGTAATACCCAATAGTGCATAACACCACCGAACAGCCAAAGTATCACAAGCACCATTCACGCCTAGACGCTAGGTTGCCAGACATCTCAATATTGTTTTAAGTAATTTTTTCTCTAAGACTTTAGCACATACTTTCATGAAAATTTCAAAGATTCATCTTGATGACTAAACAAATATTAGATTACTTCTTTAAGGGTTCTGTTTAATAACATGTCTGTAAAATTTTGACACGTTTGAGAAGTTTGGAAACATAATGTAAAATAATTAAAATTGTTTTTAAAACTCAACACTTTCACTTATTATACATTGGATTCACTTAATATATATTCCAATATAAATAACATTGGAAACATAATGCCTCACACAAATGGCGCTTGTGATACTGTGGTCGGAAAGTGACAAAATGAGATACAATTTCTCACCTCAGTGACATTTCGATAGTGAAACTACCAGACCACATATCTAAGTTTACGACGTTGTAGACTTCCAGTCATACTTCATGTTTTAAATGGAAAACTAATTGATGTAAGTTCTTGAAAACTTCCGTGATTTTTCTTCTATGCACTAAGAAAACTCTGTGAATATTTCCAGGAATGATATGTATTTGTTCTCTTTTAAGAAATTAAAATGGGAGGGGAGATTTTCATACACCGCAAACGAGATATGTGGTCTGGTAGTTTCACCATCGATTTGTAAGTTAAATCAAATGAAAAAGGTGATTTAATTTATACAGTGGCTCAACATTGGAGTAGTAATTGGACAGATTTCGATCTAACTGAAATATGTGCATTATGACATGAGCCAAGTTGTGTATGCACATATTCTTATGGGTCTCAGGGCTCATGTCTTAACGCACATAGTTCCGTTTGATAGAAATTCATCCACTTATGTTTGCACTTTGAAAACTTTTCAGATTATTCTGATAAACTCATAATAACTTCCTCACTTTTCTTCATATGCAGAATCCAGACACTTACTAAATTATTATGGGATAAATAAAGTGAACAAGGTCTTTTTGTGTGAATTTTTTTTCTCTAAGCAAAAAATTCCTACTTCCTGTCAAAATTACCAGATTTTCTTTCATTTTCATCTGTTAAGAGCTTTTCTAAATGCTTGCTGCATTGGTAATATCGATTTATAAACTTGACAGGCATGATAGATGTAATTGCACAGAAGTGCTTACCTCAAGGTCTCCGAGCTGTATTCTATGATTTTCTTCTTTTTCAATAACAGTGCCATCATCCAGCCGTCCTTCATAATCCAAAATGCAAATCTCTGAAAATTGAGGCCGCGTATCTGGCTCACCTGGCACAGTCACCTGAATGAAAGGGAAAATATGATTAAATAAGAGTTTCTCATAAAGAGAACTTTTCTTTTTTTCTTAAAGCATCGATCTTGAAAAAAGTTGAATACTTTTAATTCATGAGGGTTTGGTGTGTAAAAAATTAACAGCATTTGCTAGTAACGATTACGACAGAGCTGAATGAAAAAAAAATACAATTTAATCTCCTACATTAACCATTAATTGGCAGAATTTCGATGGCTTTTGTTGAGTAGGTAAGATAAGTTTGAAGAGACACATTCTCCAGAAACAATACAGGATTCCTTAGTCATCCCGTGGAAACCCTTATTACTTACTTAAAATTTTTAACATAGGGCATGCAGTTAGAACTGACTTCCTGATGATTTAAAATTGACAAAAATCTATTGATTTATCCTCAGCCGTCTGAAATTTTGTCCATGACAATTTCTAGGGACCATAGACCGTAGACAATCAGGAATCTTTGCTACAAAAAAGTGGCTGAGTGTGATGTTACCAGCACAGTCCGCTGGAGAGCACACATGATTTACCTCCGTCCTACCGTGTACAAGTTCCAGAGTGCAGTGACGAAGAATGTTCTTTAACTTTCCTGAAAGCTTGCTTTTGAATAGAATGAGGGGTATGCATGCTCATCCCTAAAATAGACTATATGCCCGTCATTAGAGTGAAAGTGTTCATTGCAGATGAATTAAAGGATAGCGTGGTGTAAATCACGGTACTTGGTGAGGTTTTCACATATTCTGCAGAAAAATTGTTAGAATTTAACATATTTCTATAGAATGAGACATAGTTGAAGTGAAATGGAGCTATAAGGTACGTCATTAGGATGGCACAAATCTGTGGTTTCAGTTTTCTACCGGGCCAAATCATTAATAAACTGGCTTAGGCCAGAAACATTGGAATGGTATGTAGTTCCACAATTCTAGTAGACCATTTGAAGCGATCCCTAGAAGCGTGGATAAGCCCTGGTCTCCTTCCCTCTCGGACAAAATTTTTCTGGCTACGCTTATGCTAAGTAGCGGTGTCTCCTCAGTAGCAAGCTACCTGTCAATCATCCAGTTTGGTAAAGGGCTCCAATCACTAATACATGTCAACTGAGCAGTAAGGACAACCAATCATAGGGCTCCACTTCACACTAGTCTGATTTTTCCCATTTAGAAAAATGCAAAATTTTAGAAAAGATCTGCAGCTCTGGGCTAAAGTTGAAAGGTTCCACCGAACTTGCGGTTAGCCCTGAGCAGGTGCTTTGAAATTCAACGCCAAGGAGATTTGCTGCGCACAGCTCTTGACGGAAGAATGATTTACTAGAGCACAGAGTATTTTATTTGGGGAAAGTTTTAGGTGTCGAGAGTTGCGAGGAGGGTAAGTAGGTGGCCTTACCTTCTTCTTCAACTGTTCACTTCCAAGGATATCCATCCATCCGTCATCATCCTCTTTTTTTTCATCACCTGCGGTTTCGGCATGATCCTCTTCCTTGCCGGAGGCTTCTTTTCCAATTAAAGGGTCTTCCTTGGCTGCATCAACAATCTCAAAGGATTCACCATTGTTATCAGATTCCATCTTGACAATCCCTGAAAGAAAACTAGACACTATCGAGGACACAAATCACGAATCTCTCAGCACACAATGAATTTGAAAGAATTACTGATGCATTGAAATTCCATTAATTCAAGGAAAACAGCAAATTCATCGAATAGATGGCAGGTGAAATTTAGAGGAAGATTCAAGAAATGATTATCACATTCACATAATCACCATAATCATAATCAATCACAACAATGGCTCTGTTCAAAAAACATTTTCCGGCATTATCAAAATGTTGTCAAATGTAACTATAAAGTGTATTCTTTAGTAACCCACTGACCCAATTAGTGTGGTAATTAAAACTGCTCACTAATTATCACCTAGAAAATAAAATTACTATTAAAATATGACTCTCATTTTAGCTCCACAAAATTTTCACGGCATAAAGAGCAAAGTTATAAATCAAAGAAAAAATTAGTACGACAACGCTGGAAAGGTTATAGACTAAAAATGTTTTTCGAAATGTTGCTAACCTAATCCACTCCACGAATTTGTTCTTGTTTGTAGAAGTTTTAGCCATGAGCATGGATATTTGTGCTTGATTATCTTTTCCATCCTTGATTTTCAAAAGTGATAGTTTCCTTCTTACGAATTAATATCCGTGTAAGATGGCCGACCCCCTAAGTTTACTCCGACAGTATAACATCAACAAGAAGGAAATCATCGAAAGGGATAATCAAATAATCTTCGGCGAGTTTTCATGGCCCAAAAATGTCAACACCAATTATTTGGTTTATGGGTAAGCTTTAAATTATTCGCCGCTATTTTTTTCAAATATGAGACACTCTCAGTAAGTCACACATATTATGAAATACTTAAGCTTTTCCAAGAGATGAAACGTTACAAATGCTAACCAATGTTTACACGAGAAAACCTGAAGCAGCTGCCAGGAACAGCAGCATCAAGCCAATCGAGCTCCAACAAACAATTTCTTGAGTTTTCTCCAATTGTTCCGAGTATGCTGTTAAATTTTGTTGGTAGTTACCTTATTTCCTCCAATGACATTACATTGTAAACAGTAGCATTAATGGAAGCTTGGGTTAACTTATGGTGCCATTGGCTGCCAGGTAGGTAGGTCACGGAATACAATAAAGAATGCATAGAAGAATTTTCCGAAGACTATTTAACCTTAAGCATTGATGGCTACATTTCATTGTATCCGACAAACTTTAATTTGTTAGCAGTAATTATATCATGCATCAAAATATGTCACTCCACGCATGGTGAAGCTTCCGGTATCCTTGAACAGGAAGCTGCGCCTTCTATTACTTACTTCTGCTTTCTTGCTCAACTTTTGTTTGAAATCCTAGGTTTTATTGCCTACCAGTACTGCACAGCTATTTTCTGCTGAAATGAGGAAATTCATCAGAAATTAATTGTGGTTAGCTTTTGGTAACATACCTACCGGAAAGCTTCAGTTTAAGTACATTCATACTTTTTCAGTGTCAAACTGTAAACCCGACTCTAAACCCTCCTCATACCCTTGCTTTAAAGATTAAAGAATCTGTATTCTGATTTTAAAGCATTGTAATTTCAGGAAAGACTTTTCTAAAAAAATACATGGAACTCAAAGAATTTCTAAAAGAGAAATTCAGTTTTGACTTTAAGGCTAATAGTGAGGAAGAATATTTATAATTGTCAATTTTCACACTCGGCAGTAAGTTTAGAGGACTAAAAATCTCTTTGCTAAATTCCTCTCATTAGTTGAGCCCTCCAATTCATGAAATCTCCACTTGTTTTTATCACGTATTCACTGAATAACATGTACTTTCTTGGATTACTGTATGTGATGTGTAAGAAGGCACATCTAGGACGAAATCAGTGATAGTTGAAACTGGTCTTTGGGGATTCAATTGATTTTCTTTTCAAAATACAAGTTTATCCAGCTGGTAACTTATACAATCACCAAGTGGCATTTCTTAATAATGAATAGGAAGGAACAAAAATCTTGTAAGCATCTTAAAATTTTAACAGAATTTAGAGGTTATGAAATCAATTCTTTAATGAAGGAATCATGAAGTATGCTTGATCATCGTAATGAAAATGAAAAAGCCCTGTTACTCTTCCATGAACAATTTTCCAGAATTGTTTTTAAGTAATTTTAATATATGCTCAGATAGCCTCCCCACAAGGAATCGTTTCAACCTATCGTCAGGAATTCTGTATTTAAATATTTTTGACCTATTTTGAATGATGTCAGTGAAAGAACATCATATTATTTGCCAGCATTGAAACCTCTTGCTCTAATTTTGTGATTTTAATGTTTCCAGATCAGGCAAGGATGGTGCTAGCAAAGAATTCTATACGCTAGAGTGTTTACTGTTTCTGCTGAAAAATGTATCTCTTTCTCATCCTGTTTATGTGCGGCAGGCAGCTGTAAGTATACTCATGACCATTTCAGTATACTTTATCGTCTACTTGACATGCCCAGCAAGGGTAATCTAGAATAAAAGCTGGTACTTGCATTCCCATCTTATGTTGAGAAGCGATCGAATAATAATAAATGGACTGTCATGGAAATGGATTTCAAGATAGCTGTACAATAGAGTTGAACAGTCCATTTCCGTATTAGTCATGGAATTTGAGGGACACAAAAACATGTCCCTAAGTAAAACATTCCAGGGATTTCTGAAGTGAATCTTTTGAAAACCTACCAATTTCATGGAATTTAAAATTTTGCTGAATTTGAGAAAATTCTACATTCAGAGCACTAAAGTTCAAGCATGAAGCCTCCAACAACTGACGGAAATTCAAGAATAATCAGACAGACTGTGACAGCATTGCCCATTAAAAAACTTATGATTTTGAACGATCCGGACAAGCTGATAGTCCATGTTTGGCTATGCAAGTACCCATGTTTGTTTTAGATTCCCCCATGCTATGAACCAGCGGGCCGACAATGGCAGCATTGCTGCAGGCCTGCAAGCCAGTCTATGAATTTTTGTCGTAGGAATGACGGTTTCATTGCATAGCTGTAAAAATGCACATCTGCACATCAATAATGAAACGAGTCCTTCATCTCAGTTGTGGTATTTTAAAATTTCCACTCATAGTAATCTTAGCTGACAGATTCTTTATAGATGGAAGATTTTTCTGCAAAACGACATGAAATTATTCCAGGGTGCCTACAGGTCTAGCAAGCTAGGAATCATCAAAGAATTACATCAGGTCAAGGAAATGGGGAAAAAGTGGGGAAATTTCATTGAAGATTTCAAACCTGTTTTTGAGGCCTTCCAATTTCAGCACATGGCCCGTTGGGAAGTCGAGAAGATTCTGCACCCTCGCATTAGTGAAATATTTCATGACAGTTTCATTCCGTAAAAAATTGTTATTTTTTATTGATTTGACAAGTCCTTTATATTGACAAGTCTTTGTTTTATGATATTTATGATTTAATGTGTCCAGCACTAGATGGCCTGACAAACAGGGCTATGCCCTAGTTGTTTGTAGAAGATAGAGAAGAAAAAGTGTCAAAGATATTGATTTTTCACCATCCAACACTATCTTATACATGCTCTATTGTTACGTTTTCAATTTCTCAGGCTGACAATGTTCCTGGTGTACGTCTGCCAGATAGGAAAGATCTCCTTGCCTACCTCAATGGCAAAACCAATACCAGCAACAGTATTGACAAAAGTGCTCCTATGGAGATTCCCACACAGGTAATTTCTCTCTCTTTGAAGCGTCCAGGCGAATTGCTTTTGCAATGTTAACGAAAATTAGAATCTTAGGTCACTAAAAACTGAAATGTTAACACTGTTAATAAAATAGTTGCTCAAAATCCCTGATACTCGCTAAAAAAATGAAATGAAAAAGACCAAAAATAATATCTAAACCAAGAACACAATGAGCTTTTTAAAATCGAATTTTTTATGTGTTAATTTTGAGTGAAGTAAGGTTGAAAAGTGCACGTTTTCTAATGGAGATGTCAGATCGTGGCCACGTCTGGGTGGACGATGCGCCAAACGCTGTCATCACTCGGAGGATTTTCATTCCTTCCATCAATCTTATCTTCCGGGTCTGCAAGGAAACAAAGACTCCTCTTGATCATCAATAAGATATTTCAACACTTCTACTAGATATGCATGTGAAAATACCAAATAATTCACTTTCAGCCCTGCTTTTTTCAAGATTAGCACATGAAAAGTTCAATTTTAGTTCAATATAAAGCTCATTATGCGCAGGAGGCAGCAAGGACCATCTTATCAGATATTACTAAAATTTAGGCAGCATAGTGTATCTTGGTATTCTGTGTGCAGTCTTTTTGAGCACTGGATTAAAAGATTATCTCATTTAAGTGAGTAGCTCTGAGAAAATTCTAGTATATTTATGTACACTTGAAAAATTTTGTAGAAAGAAGCACTTCCAGTTTTTAATGGAAGGTATTTCTGTTTCCTTTACTCTTGCATCCTTTTTTCATTATACAGCCGAAATCATCTAGAACGATCTTCTAGGGACCGGCTTAGTTCGGTCATTACAACTGATCGTCATTATAACTGATGCACAAATATATTGAATGGACCACTAGACAAGGTACGAATTTAAGCATTCTGATACATGTTTCTTAACCAGAATTTCACGTAGAACCCGATTCACACTACGAAAATTACGGAAATCAACTCCTAACGAAGATATTAACGTTTTTATTTCACATTGGTTACGAGGAATTTGAACTGCCCGCTCACAAGAAACTCAAAGCTCTACGTGAGTCAAATCGCGCACTACAACGGTTTCAGCAAGCTTCTCAATCGAGCACTGTTCATTTTCCACCATGTGTTGTTTAAACTATTAGTAATCTGCTATAGCTGAGCCAAATAGTCAAGATTGAAGTTGAGGATTTTTACATCGCAGAGACTGTCATGATAAACATTTAGCGCGCGATGTGAATCACGTAGAGCATTGAGTTTTCATGAGGGGGTGGTTTGTATTCACGCATCAAAAATCATTAAATATCTTCGTCAGGAGTTGATTTTGGTAATTTTCGTTGTGCGTATCGTGTTCTACGTGCAATTTTGATAAAGAAACATGTATCAGAATGCTGAAATTTGTACCTTGTCTAGTGGTCCATTGGTGGGATTTCAGCCGCAGGACCAACCATATCGCACATCGTTAGGACCGATATGTTGTTGCAAGGGATGTCATAATATGCAATTTCCACGGTAATATAATTTATTTATTTCCCCTTTTCATTCAATCAATTTTTCTAATTGTTATGTTTCAGGTGAAGAGGCCAGGTACTGATGATCTTCACCCAGAAAATGCCATCAAAAAACCCCGTCTGGAAGATACCCTTCAAGTGCAGTTAGTCAAACAGCAACTTGCTGCTCGATTGGATGCCCCCAAGGAGGCTTCTGTCACAGTCGACAATATTAAGTAAGCATTCGTCTCTTTTCAGATTACATAATGCTCAACTGAAAATGAACCACTAGACAAGGTATGAATTTAAGGATTCTGATACATGTTTTTTAACTAGAATCTCCTGTAAAACACGATTCTTGCGTCGAAAATTACTGAAATCAACTCCTAACTAAGATATTAACATTTTAATTTAACATTGGTTACAGGAAATTTGAATTGCCCAGTCGTAAGAAACAATACTGTACATGAATTAAATCGTGTCTTACAACGGTTTTGGCAGGCTTCTCAATCGAGCACCGTTCCTTTCTCAATCTTTATTGTTCAGAGTGTGAACAATTTGCTATAGCTGAGCCAAAGTGACATGATTGATTTTTTCGTATTGCAGAGACTGCCACAGTAACGTTTAGTGTGCGATTTGACTGATGCAGACCATTGAGTTTTCATGAGTGGAAGGATTGAATTCACGCGTCAAGAAACATTAAATATCTTGGTTAAGAGTTAATTTCAGTAATTTTCATTGTGTTGTGAATTGTGTTCTACATGGAATTTCGGTTAAGAAATATGTATCAGAATGCTTAACTTCGTACCTTGTCTAGTGGTCCATGGTAATATGTAGCTGTGCTGTATAGTCTTGCTGGCAAAATTGTGTAACAAAGCTCTCAAATATTGTCTTCAAACAACTCTTCTCTTTTACCCATCTCAAAGGAGACCCATATTATCTTTAGCGTTTTTACAACTTTTCTCCTATAGACGGAAACTGTATTTAATATTTTCAGTGCTTATTTATTGTTCAGTAGCCTAAAATCTCTTTGCGTCTCTTGTTTTAAGCTCTGGAAAGGTCATAAAAAGCCTCATTAAGAATTAAAACTTAAGAAGTACCAGGAATTTTTTTTTTTTTTTTTTTTTTTTTTTTTTTTTTTTTTTTTTTTCTTTTTGAGTTCAAAGAATGAAGTGCAAGGTTAGCCTTGAGGACTATAAAAATTGGTTTTTAAGAAAATAAAAGAAATGCTATGTATCAATTGAAATCTGTTCTGTGTGATTACCTCCTTACATAATTTTTCTTCCTCTTCCTTGACCCCAATTTATTCATGAAGTTTCCAAATACCTCACATTAATGTTGTGTTTTTATGCACTAGGTCGTTGTCAGAAGCTATGTCAGTGGAAAAAATTGCTGCCATCAAAGCAAAACGTTTAGCGAAAAAACGTACCACAATTAAAGGTCATGATGATATTGGACTCGGGCCGGATCTTAAAGTAATGTTAGATTTCGATGTTGATGTAACAAAAGATATTATTTCTCGAGAAAGACAGTGGCGGACCAGGACAACAATACTTCAGAGCACTGGGAAGGTACTGCGATTATTCTTTTAGGCCTTTTTTTAAGTTCTGGTGGAGGATCAACTTTTTGCTGCCTCCTTCCCTGGATATTTCTGGTTTCTAGTTCTATTAAGAGAGAATACTGTGGTGACTTTTACCTAATAATTTCATCCTGCAGGAGAATAAAATAAAGGATAGTTGATCAAAGAAGGAAGTGGAATTTGTTGTTTTCTAAAGATATCAATGGGCAGTTTGACCCATCTGTTGGCCTCTATTTTGTTCATCCGCCGAAAAAAAATTGTCGTGCTCAATATTGTGCTAATCATAGCCATCACCTTTTTTAGGGGAGGTTTTTCAATTTATTGAACACGAACGTTTTCTGGTGAAAGAGCGAGCATTGCAGGGTAATTTAAGGTGTGAGTGGTGGTAGTGTTGCGTCATAAATAAAAATTGGGAGGACCTGACAACTTTTGATTTTGCTACGATTTTTTCATTTATACAATCAAATTTAATTTTAAAAACCACTTGTCAGTATCTTGCTTATTTCAAATCTACTCAAAAAATGAGCCGAGAGCTTTTTTCTGATATTGACGTTAAAACTGCCACAGAAAAATGTATCTCAATATTTGCGACTTCCCAGACTTCCTGTCGTACTTTACTCACTAAACAGAAAACTACTCAACGTCATCTCTTAAAAACGTCGGTAATTTTTCTCTTCCCTATAATAAATATTCTGTGAAAATTTCAAGCTGTGATATTGGTTGGGCCTCCTTCAAAAACTTAAAATAGGAGTGAAAATTTTGAAACATTGCAATCGAGACACGAGAATTAATTCTATTGTCCCTTTTTCCCTCTGTATTGAGGTTTCCAGTTTTCTGGATTTTTAACGCACGCCGGGTTTAAAAATTCCAACTTACTATTTATTGAGTACAGTTCTGGAGTAGTGATTTGTGTCCGAAAAGAAAATTTTTTCCATCTTTTAGTCCTGTTTGTTTGAAATTGGATTTTCCAACTTTCTTAGCTCACAGTGCAGGATAAAAGTTTAAGATTTCATTACTGTGAGGAGCTTGCATAGTAGTACGTAGTACTTTTCATAGTAATATTTTATGCATTTTAGTTTTCTATAAAGACAACCTTTATTTGTTCACCGGCAATTAAATTCTTGAAATTTGTTTAATTTTTAGATGTTTGCCAAGAATATATTAGCGATACTTCAGTCAGTCAAAGCTAGGGAAGAAGGAAGACACAGGCCTCCTCAGCCAACCCCTGTACATATGACACCACGTATGCCTCCAGCAAAGCCAGCTGTACCTCAGCCCGTTGTTTACAGTCGTTACGACCAGGAAAGATTTATTAGGCAAAAAGAAGGTAACGCTCCTCCTTACATGTATTTTTCATAGAAGGGGTCCTTAATTTTAAATGAAAAATCAAGTTTGGGAACCTTTATTTCAACTTGTTGCCTATATTTACATCATTTCACATTTCATAAAATTCTTTCTCCAAGCATACTGACCATTAGATCTTGGATCAATGACGAAATGATTAAAGCTTCAACGTTAGCTCTGTTTGTAAACAATCCGAGGTGATCGGCAATATCAGTTGGATGCATTAAGCTAAAAAGGAATGAAACAATATTACAAACGATACGAGTTCTAAAGTATGTGCAAACTGAAATTTGTTAGTCTTATTTTTTGTAAATCACCAGCTTTTATATACTGAAAACTATTATTTAGATATATTACTCAATATAAATTGCTTTATTTTTCATGAACTTTCATCTTTCAATTTTAAGTCCTAAGTTGGTTATAAATCTCTACCATTTGCAATTTTATCTTCAATGAAAGGAAGGAGATTGAAAGAATTTTTTTTTCTTTGAGGAAGAATCTTGAATGAAGGCAAAAAAAAAAAAAAAAAAAAATGATTTCTGTTCCAGCGTCCCTTTCTAAAATTGACCACATAAGAGTAATTTTTTTTCTCTTGATGAATGAAAGAAAGGTACTGATCATACTATCATCTTTATTTATTTACAAATTATTATCGGAGGATTTAATTACACTTTTTGTCTTTTGTTTTATAGAAACGGAAGGTTTCAAAATTGATACCACTGGAACATACCACGGTATGACCCTAAAATCCGTGACTGAAGGAAATCAGCCAAAAAAACCAGCCGTTCCCTCTCCGTCCACACCTCAACCATCTTTACCATTAACGCAGGTAAGTTCCACCTAAGAACTGAACACTCAAAATTTTAGAAATTTCAAATTATGGTATTTACGTGAAATGTAAAACTATCTCATGGATATTAGAATTTCTGAAATGCCTTTTCATTGTTTAAGTCCAGGCCAAATAAGGTTACGAACTTTTAGACTGCGACAGGAGATCCGCCATCTTGATTCTTGCATTTATTTACTATGCTAAAAGGACGTCAGACGATTTTCTGTCACAGTCTGAAAGAGCTCAAACTTGTTTGGCAAGGACTCCACTGGATTGTAAATGATTTAAAAACGGTACAACTTATATGCTTTTTTGCTGTAATTCCTCTTGGTGGTTCTTTCAGCACTTAGAAAATGTTCAAAAATTAGCTATTATTTTAACATATAAACTTTCATCCGTGGTTCTGATGATGCTAGATCTATCTTTCTCTTTACTCCGTCCAATCCAAAACTTAACCTGGGAAATTTTAAGCAGAAGCTAAGTATTTTTTCTGTGTATGCTTTTCAGAATCGAATGGGTTCCGCAGGACAGGTGAACAAGAGAGTCTCCAAAACACCAATCATTATTATTCCGTCAGCAACTACCTCTTTAATATCCATGTACAATGCTAGAGATATTCTACAAGAACTCAAGTAAGTATCATTTTACATCCAAGTAATGTTTTACAATTTTTTAGCCTGTCATCCAGGGTATCTAAAGCACTACGAAACAAGGAAAATTTTTGAAAATTGAACTGTTGTAAGATCAAGATATGACCTTGGAAATAGGTGTTTCTGACGTAAATTTTAGCGGGAGGTGAAACAAACGAGGGCGAAATGACATATGGCAGCCAATACTTCCAACGACGTCACCAAATCTGTTCGTGCAATATTCTCTTCTTAGCCCATTTTCCCTGAAAATTGGCATGTGTAAAATTTAATTTCAAAAGCTCATTTTTCCCATCAAGAATATTATATCAAATATCAGAATTTAGCTAGCACAGTATTCTTTGGCTTTCCATGCAAGGTCTTCTGTAACGTATCTCAATTTTTTCAATCAATGTCAGAGTAGATATTCCTCTCCTTTTGTACATCTCATATAGAATTTTATTTTTTCTTCCGACAGGTTTGTTACAACAGAGGAGAAGAAAGCACAAGGAGCTAGAAGAGAAAACGAAGTTTTGTTACAACGTAGGAAAGAATCATTTACAGTCCCTTACCGAGTCATAGACAATCCTCAGAAACTAACAAATGCGGATTGGGATCGTGTTGTTGCTGTTTTTGTTATGGGACCCACTTGGCAGTTCAAAGGCTGGCCATGGGATGGTAACCCTATTGAAATATTTGCAAAAAGTAAGTTCACTTTGAGTCTAACTATTTGAGTATGCTCTCACAGCATGAAAGTAAAAGTGTTCTCTAAATTCACCTAATTCATATTATATTAAATTAAAATGAGGCAAGTCTTATGTGCAAATTTTTTAGAAGTTAAAAGGAATTTTTTTTATAACGCTGAACTCTGTTTAACCTGATTTCCAATAGTGGCAAACTTTTTGTTGAGTTTTTGTGTTGACTACTCGTATATTCAATGTTTAAAATTCACAAGTTTAATTTCATAAGTTAAAACATGAACTTACTTAATTCAAGCTCAAATCTTCTCAAGCTCGACATTATTCAAAGTTATTTTCAAAGCTTGTAAAAGCTCAAAATTGACTCCAAAAAAAAGAAAAGATAAATAAACTTGACTCGAACCAAAAAAACCTGGCTCAAGTAGCCCTTTTCAAGCAACAAAGTAGCCCATACCAGACAAGCTGTTTGGTCATAATTTCATGCACGATGTCCTGCTCGGCGTTAATGATCTCACGCACTCTTTCATTCCTTACTTGATCTCTCCTTGAGATTCGGGCTGATCATCGCCAGAAATCCATTTCAGTTGCCTTACGACTCTTTTTGGTATGATCTTTCATGGGCGATACTTCACTGCTGTAGGTCAGAATGCTTTTGATTATGGTGTTATAAATCAATCCCTTTTTTTCTCTGGAGATACTTTGATCCCAAAGAATCCTATTTCACATAGCAATAGCTTTCCTTCCCTGCAGGTTTTGATCTTTTACGGCTTGGTCCATCTTTCCATCCTGGGATACGCAACCTCCCAGATCTTTGTAATGTTCGCAACTTTTAATACATTGTCTATCCTCTAGCTCATTGTCTTATTATGATTATAAAAAATTGTATATCCTTATGCGTTTTGTTCATATTTCTTACAGTTTGTGCATTTCATCTGAAGTATGACGAAATGAAATTAGACGCCAATGTAGCCAAATGGGCTGTTAGTGTAATTCAACTTTCTCGCACGAAGCGGCATCTTGATAGAGCAGCGTTGATGGTTTTCTGGGAAAAACTAGACAGGTGAGTACATTTCAGGATACCTAAGTAATTCAAATTTCTTTATCTATTCTCCGTTGAAAATAGTTTTGACATTTTCAGGTCATCAAGTCATACCCTCTTAGACAGGCCTTTCGTCTACCTATATTAATTATCTTTACTTTGCTAGATGTTTTAAGCAACAATGTTTCACAATACCAATATCATAATCACACCAGTCAACTATTTTTGGTCCCTTAAATTTTCTTTCATGGCAAAATATTTTCATTACTGATTGCCGTATCTGTCATTACAGTAAGAGCTTGATTCAGGTGTTTTGCGCCCTCCCTCCGCAATTGGCTGGAAAATCCACCCCCCTCCCAAAAACAAAGGGATAATGTAATAGGTGCAATATGTGTAAAAGTCACGTTTTTGTCTTCTTGGAGAAGATATCATACCTGTAAGTTTAGTGAACTATAGAGAAAAAAATCAATCATTTGCTACCATCTAAAATTTTCCGCTCAAAGCAGATGCTTTTGTTGCACTTGCTCTTAAATCTGGAAGAATCACATTCAAAATTATTGAGCAAATGAATATATGGCTAAAAACAGCAAAATGAATCTATGGCATAACAATTTGAGTTCAATGTTGTACTTGGGTTGTCCTATCGGTTTCTGATGAGTTTTCGAAATAAGTCCATTAAAAAGTTGTGATCATATGAAGATTCTTGCTAGTAGAAATCAGAACCAGCAGAGCAGTATTTTCGGAGCTAACAATAGAGACCTGTTCTCATGCTTATCAGTAATCCAACAGACAGACATACAAGGCAGCAGTGCATGTACAATGTTTTAAATTTAGAATTTAAAGAAGTAATTTTAATTACACTGAGTAATTTTTAAATTAACTAATTCAATATTTTTAATAATTATATGCACTTATTTACTCAGAGCTCAAACAGTTCAGATAGGAGTGTATTAATACTTCTGATAAGCCAAATATTCAACAAAAATCGAAAGGAGGTTCTTGTAAGATTTTAAAGTATAGTGTGTTTTAAAAGTACTGATATCCGATAGTTTACTGAAGCTAATTAATTCTGTTTTCTTTTTCAAAGTATGTTTTTTAAGCTTCTTTCAAAACTTCAAATTTCTATTGATCTAACTGTCTTCTCCTCTGTTCCAGGCATATGCTGAAATTCAAGCAACATCTACGTTTCTAAACAAAGCACGTGTGAAGTTTTCCCTCTTGAGTATTATAACATTTTACTCCATAGGATAGTGGCAGCTCTTTCAAAGAGCTTTTCAGTGTTCTCTGTATACTTTGCTCATCACCTTGTGTAATAGCATAGATCGTGCATTATTAATTGTGAGAAATCAAGTTCTCTTCAATAATTAAATTATTCTGTTCAAGCATGAATTCATCCAGTTGTCAAGAATCCTTGGTTCAAGTGGATGCTGACTGGTCCTAAAAATCAACTTCAGTGCATTCTGAATCGGAGTTTATGGCTCTCGAGCAATTTCTCTAGCTGTATGTGTTTTTACCTGTAAAACAAATGGGAAAATTGCCTCTCATAAAATTCTGAAATTATACCCTGTAACTTCTCAACATTTTATACATGCATCTTAGTTCTTTTTAGAAATTGAATTATTTTTTCAGGACATTTTTACAAATTTTATAATTGAAGAGTATTATTCAAAGAGGTCCTTTCTGTTTACCATCTGTCAAACTGTTATTTTAAATGTAATGTATCCGCGAATTAATTTCAAGACCAACAGACTAAATGGAAGGAAAGGTTATTGTAAATTGGAGACTTATCAATCATGGACTGAGTACCAAAAAATTGTTAATCGAGTTAGATAATAGAAGCAGCATTCCCTTCCAAGTACCAAGGACAACATGCTGCACAATGAGCTAAGTGGCACCAACAGTATAGTAGTGCGTTGAACTTCTGAAAGATTGCATTAGGGGTATGTTCCGCAGCAGTTTTCAGAAATTAAAGTGTGAACAACTAAAATCAATCATCCAACATTATTTTGGCACTCAGCCTGTTATTGACGATAAGTATTCAATTGGAGGCTCACCCTTTGTTGTTTCTTTAAAAGTTAGTCGAAATCTCAATTGGATGTCATTTTGCAAAAAGGATTTAGAATATCTAACCCATCCATTGAAGAACCTGTGCGCACAGAGAAACTAATGGCACATACATTGTTTCCGAAATGAGCCAAAAATTGTAGTTTCTTATCTCAAAATGTGGTCCAATTAAAATCTAATTTCAATAAGATTGCATTTTTAAGTATTCGGAATAAGCGAGTAATGTTTGTAGTAGATGGAAACTGGCATGAGTTAAAGCAAGAACTTTATTGAAAAACTCGGCAGAAATTTCTGGGAGGTATTTTCTCTTAACATGGTTCATCTTTTCACGGGCAAATTTGGCGCACAATGAAGAATATTGATAAAGTAATGTGTAGCACCTAGTTATCCCCTGGCACTTGGATGTTGATAGAGTCTCTCTTCCTGCACTTCTGACTGTATTGCTATCTTTGCAAGAGCTGTGTCGCCTGGCCAATTAGTCTTAACTTGTGATAGGCTCAGTTCCAAGTTTCATGAAGTCATAAAATCTTCTCCGTGGAGAATCCCCTCTCTGTCCATTTTACCCTGTCTAGGTCAGGACTGTCAAGTTTGCGTTACCGTGGTATTAAACCTTTGGTTCAGATCCTAATTTACTTATGAAAAATTAAGGGGAAAGATGAATGTGACTCTTTTCAGTTTCGAGTTTTAATTTTATTTTTTTCTTTTTTGTCTTGACAACATTAGGCTTACAAGATAGGCATGCTTGCTACTTGCAAGATGCGAAAGGAGCAGATACTCTAACTTACTGTACGCTTAAAATTTAGTGAGTAAACAGTAATAGATCTACTTGAACCCATCTTTTTATAAATATCCTCATAATTCAGGGTATGATTCCGTCAAAAGAAAACTTGACTCGATAATAAAAACTTACCTGTATGCTGCTGTAGGATTATAAATTCTACTTAAAAAAAAATGATTTGGCTAATCTACTGGCTATCAACATAATCATATGTAGACAGTTATTGATTTATTGTGCGGAGAAGGACTCTTAAAAGTGACGCTTTTCCTCGTTCCGCAGCACTATGCTCCACATTCTCATTCCTCAAGCAAGTCCTAGCACTCGCACCCAGTTTTGAGATCGGTCATTAGAATTTACTCTCCCCCTCTGCCCCAATCTATTCTCTGGTTCATCTTGTCATTAAAGTTATAGTATCAATTTCCGTTTTTGATTTGTGACATGAATCGCAGTCATCAATTTTGACCCAGGATCAGAAATTTATTGTAAGCTTATAATAGCAAAATTAAATGGCTGATGAAAAGTGAAGTTTTATTCTAATTTATTGTGAGTATAATTAAACTTAAATAACGCTTGTGAAAATCACGTTTCACTTATGGCTCTTGTATATATAGTAAATCATGTTGTAAAATATAGATTGTGTTATTTTACCCAAAAATTTGTACTGTTTCTCCTCGAAATTCCTTGTAGTTCTTTTAAACCGTTTTTACCTCATGAGAGTAACTTTTCTCTCTCAATATTACTTGAATGTATTCAATGAAACCCTAGCATGCAATTTAAATCGGGCATTCTTCAGTGCCATCATGAAAAAGTTTCAGAAAAAACAAAAAAATCGCATTCATGTGTGTCAAGTTCATAATTACCAAACAGGCTCATTAAATATTTAGAACGATCAGTTCCAGACTCCAACAATGTTCCATCATTCGTGCCGACGTGCCTTTCAGGAACCATAGTTTCTGATCGGATTTTTAAGTTTATGTAATTGTCCTCCGAGTTAGGAAAAATCAGGAAAATATATCAGGATTTTTCAAAATTAAAAAATACTAGACACCCTGTACAAAATCTGCTCTTGCTCTGCCCCTTATCATAACTCAGAAGTAATTGAAGACAAAATTAGCTCTAGATCATAAAAACTACCTATCTAGAATCATGGGGCTCGTGATATTAATTTAGCACAGGCTGTAGGTAATCAAATTAATTTGGCAAGGGCCCAATTACCTGAGAGGAGAACTAAAGAAAGATAGGATGGCTAAAGTACGTGCGAAATCACGTACCTCTATTGCAGTGTCCCAAAATTTCGGTTCCTATTTCATTTTTGGAAGAGAGACAAGCAAACTTATGGCTTGAACTTTATACGGAATATATTTTGCTAATAGAGAAAGAAAAATCAAGGAAGTTTTCAAAAAACATGTTGACTATAGTTTTCAGAAGAAAAAATTAAATATGACAGGAAGTCTACAACGGACGTTCATAATTTTTTTATTTTGTTGCCCGGAGGAACCGCCATACTACAACGACGCTAACAGAGGTACGCGGTTTCGCGCTTTGGCCACAGATAGGTATCCTTTATTGCACAAAAGTACTAAGTTACTCTACACAAAAGAAGGTGAAGAAGCCTGTGGTTACCTAATTACTCTCATAATAATTTTTTTTTTGCTTTTTTTGTAATCGAAGGCTTTGCTCGTGCGGCAGCCAGGGTTGCACAAGTGAAATTAAAATTATGAAAGATTGGATTTAAATATTTCATGAAATTTCACAAAGCTAGGAAAAATTGAAAAATATGAAAAAATATATCGTCGGGGATAGGGTATGCAACAGGCTTCAAAAACATCTAAAAGCAGAAACCATTTGGCTTTAATTTACTTTTGCATTTCCAAAATTTTTCATGCAATATCTTTGTATTTTTTCTGAAATTTCTTAAAATATTTCAATGAAAGTTAAATATATTAGTTTTCATGGAAAATTGCAACCCTGTGCGGCACGGCAGCTGCGCCAACCGTGAGTCGTTTTTACCCGCCAAAATATACCAGTGACACCAACACTATGGTGCTTTCTCTAATTCTCTTGCGATTTTTTTCTGTACGAGTTCCTTCTTTATGATTCTCATCTGAAAATAATGGAATTATGTAAGTCATGGTTTTTTCCAAACTATCAAATTCGCCTATGGAAGGTTCTTGCTTTGCGTGATTCTTTGTTTCTCATCAAAGTGCAACATAAGATGCAACCTTGCTTCATGTCACTTTTTTGCTCCTCTCTATGTGGCAACCTTGAGAGAATTTGCGTCCGGATGAAGAAGAGAAAGAACATTTTTCTGCAACTTATCGGCAGTCCTTTGAAATTTTCGGGATCCGAATTTGGGGAAGTGCGAGGCGAATAGATCTTTATCGGGCCCGAAGTTTTGTGAAGTTTATCCTGCAGCCTCTTCTGGAAGTATAAGTGAATGCAATTCAGTTGATAGTAGAATATTTACTTACCGTTAAGTTTAATCAAAAATGGCTGTAGCGCTAAATCCGGCTTATGAAGCAATCGGGAAAGGATTTGTACAACAATATTATGCTCTGTTCGACGATCCTGAACAAAGGCCAAATTTAGTTAACATGTATAATGTAAGTCAAGTTTACAATCTGAATTTTTACTCCATAATCTCTACTGAGTGATGTCACAGCCTTGTGCAAAGTGGAGGAGCGCATTTGGTCTTCGAAGTGTCAAAGCAGCTGCATCTGACAGAACGTAGATGCCTTATCAGTTGTCACATGAATGCAAGTCACATTTTTACGAGACCTCAGATTGGCATAATTCATCTAAATTATCTTACACCAACTCCAACTGTTCTGGAACTTCGATAAGGTTCATTACCCATGTCTCATGTCATTGATGTGTCTCTATCATAAAAGACTGTGTTCCCTAAGATTTAGGTACTACTTTTTCCAAACACTGATGTTCTTTAAATTCTGAAAAGCTCTCTCTTTCCATTACAACTAATTCTACCCTTTCCCCAAGTTTTATCTATAAACCTGTATATTTCAAGTGAGATATCAACTTATCAACCCTAACCTCAAATTACAAATGAGGCGAAGCTCATGCATTTTTTTGTCATTACGGCAATATCAGTCTTTATTGTTCATGTTTAGGTTTTAGTTTGGCTACATATAGCCCTCTTGCCGAAAATGAGATTGCAAGGAGGAATTAAAATTTCATAATACTGTACGACATATTTCAACCAGGGAGCTTTTGAGCCTATGCAAGATCCATCCATCCTCTAGAGCTATGAGGGCTTTCTGTAGCCTTGGAAGAAATGGAACGCAATGGACTGGGATCCTGTACCGTTCGGACCAACTCCACAATGTCCCATGGGGAGAAAAATTCCAAGGGCGGTCATATGTCTGTTTATGCTTGTCCGCATGATTTAAGCTCTATGGGTAAAGATTTGGCGTAACTGCAACTTCAACTCACCTTGGAAGAGCAATCTAAGCGTTCCTCTGGAATGCAAGGATCGAGTTGGACCGTGCAAGGGGACCAGGATAAAAAAAATGAAGCGATAAGTTGTGTTCCATTGCGGTCTGGACAAAAAAAAGACCTCTTAATGCCCATTCAAAGTGAACTGTACTTATTCTTAGTAGGTATGTTGATATGAACACTTTTAAAGCGCAACTATCGATGCAAATTGCGGACTATGAATTGAATCTGCATGGAAAGAAGACAGTTGTTTAGTTGTTAATTTCTTCAAGTATTACCTTAATTTTGTTACTCACACTGTATTACTATTATTTTTTATCTTATTTTTCAGGCGGAAACTTCATTTATGACATTTGAAGGAATGCAACTTCAAGGTGCTGTTAAAATCATGGAAAAATTAACTGTGAGTAGCTATGTATATATTAAATAAGATAATAAGAAGCCACTGTCAGGGACGAGTTCTATCGAACCCTGAAATCCCGCAAGTGCAATTGTATTAACCTGTTAAAAATTACCTGCCAGTGCTGCAATTTTGCCTAGGATCCCCACATTTAATTGATGTTTGATGTTAAATAAATCCATTTTTCTATGGGCGACTGCCTCAAATCAGTCTTGGCTGCCTCCTTTGAGCAATAAACTGACATAATGTTTTGCAAGAGGCTCATAAGCATAAATAATATCCTCATCTTTCAAAAATGCAGACGCTTTATAGTTAATTTTTCAAATTGCAGCTTAGCCTCACCTAGAACTGGCAATGTTAAGGTCAAGGTTTGACGGAAAGATCTTTAGATTATAAGAGGATCTTATGCAAGGTTGTCTGCACTCGTCTGTCGCATCAGTAGATTGGCCCATAGAACTCGACGCTGTCGCTGCCCTCTATAACAAAGAAGTCTTATTTTGTTTGATGTCGCTCAGAGAACATTCCTGTTTGGTTTGAGTATTAAAGATTGCTAGTGGACAGGACTAATTTAAGCTAATACAGTCTCTAGTAAAATTCTATATTTTAGTCATTCTTTGTTTGTTTGTTTTTTTTTTTTTTCGCATAAAAATTCTTTTGTGTGGATATTCTCATCGATTCTGTCTCTTATTTTGGATTTGATCAAGTTGTCCTCAAAATTGATTTGTTTCAATGAAATCTCACGTTTGTTGCAGAGTTTAACCTTTCAAAAAATTATTAGACAAATAACAGCAGTAGATTCGCAGCCTATGTTTGATGGTGGAGTACTTATCAATGTGTTAGGACGATTACAGGTAAATTTCATTTTATCTCATGATTATCTCATTCCTCTCTCTGGCTTTTCTGTACTCAGTAATATTTCTATTTCATCATTGTCCTGATTCCATCTGTCATGATTACTTTGAAATTAAATGCTCCAATCTGATTTCAAAGAAGTGCCAAAAAAAACCAGAAATTTGTAACGTAGTGGTGCTGAGGGAAAAACCTGGAGAAAAATTACGCAATTTATTATCTTTTATTTGAAATGCACTCGTAGTAGTCTAATGTGCGCTCTGCACAGCTATCGTAGTACCTAGGATAGTCTGATACTACATCAGGAATGAAAATTAAATAGTTTGTGGTGTACAAGCTATAGGCTCTACCTCAAAAGCACATCTTAAACAATCAGGAACATTTCTGCTGCCTCAGTCAATCTTTAGTTTCTAGGTAATAAATATGACTTCAGATGGAGGAACCAATAAAAAATTGTTTTAAAAACATTGAACACAAAGAGCATCTAAGAATAATACTATTGGTCAAAATTTCTCTCAAGTTTTCAAAAATCCCATTCCTGGACAGCAAGTTAGTTTAGCTAGTAGTAAGTATAGGAATTGGCCTACAAATATTTCATTTTCACAGTATTTGATACAAGAAAAATAATGCGAGCGGTATAATGGCATGAAATATCCTCCCAAAATTTTTTTGCATTTGTTACTCATTTCCAGCACAGAAGTCAGTTTACTGATAATGATTATAATTAAAGAGCTAAGTTCCATGGTGAAAGGAAAAATTTCTGACGATGATACATTGAATAAACGATCAGTATTTTTTTTATCAATTTATTCAGGAAAAAAGAGAGAATTCATTGTTGCATTTGATGTAACTTATCAGGATTTAGTGGGGGAAGACAAGTGCGAATAGAAGAGCACTGAAAATTTGATTTCCCCCATTTCGGTACTAACACCCTCTGTTGATTGTTTGGTGAAGACGGACGAAGATCCTCCCCATGCGTACAGCCAAATATTTGTTTTGAAGCCAATAGGAACGAGTTTCTACGTTCAACATGACATATTTAGATTGGCTCTTCATGATTCTCTGTAGCCTCAAGACGGTTAGTTAGCACCTAATGTGGTCTTCTCTGCATGCTCGCTTGATAGCTAGCCTGAAACGAGCACCCCGTGAAAATTTGCAGATCATTGCCTATCCTTTCCTCTGCTCTCCTCTTTGACTTGCAAATCGAGTATGTTTTGCTCCGTTTCCTGCGTCTCTCGAGAATGACAAGATTTCCTATCCCTTAATAGTTGCCCTCTCAAATGAAATGAATTTATATATTTTCATTGCTAATCACTTGTACAAATTTTGAGTTTTAATCTGTAAAATGTGTATGATGGAAATAGATAGAATAATCTATAAAAAGAAAAAAAACATTAAGAAAATTTAACCCTAATCGAAAATTTTTTTGGCCCTGCCTTCCCTGCAAAAGATTGTGGACCCAGCATTAGTTTACTACCTTGATATATACAGTTCGGGCCACATTTTTTCTTGTCTAGGTAGGAAATAGATCTATGCTAAAGCTGAAATTTCCAGTCATTTTTATTTACCCTTGTGAAAAAAGACTCTAATATTGACAGACAAGTTCATGCAACGGTTCTTGCATAATAAAATGAAATTTTCATAGAAATTCTGAAACAGCGCTGATGAGATGTGTTCCTTTATATAGGAGATGATTAATTGTGTGCTCTTGACTCACAATTTTTCACCCTTCTTGTCGATTCTCCAACTGCCTCCGTTAGCTTTCCAGTAATTTCGCAATTTTGATCGATCGTATACCCTACTTCCTTCTTACCAGTGTGCCTTGCAATTTGTTTTATAGTTGGACAGATTTAACTAGAATCAACTTAACTACATCAGATGTTGCCTACTTTTTTCTGATGTTCTATTTTTTGTACATAAAACCTGACCTACTGAAACTCGAAATTTTATGAACATATTCTTCATAAGCGGGAGTAAATATGCTGAGAGTTTAAGGGCTTGAGTAGTTTAGTTCTTTGTTAAAAGAATAAAACATGAGAGAAAATTAGGCAAAATGAAATCCAGTTAGGTTGATTCTGCAATTAAATCTATCTATTTTCATCCAAAGCTCTGCCGGTGAGTTTTTGCACTTGCCTTTCCCATTTTTACTGCATCACTTCGTCTCACAGATGTACCCACAAATTCCTTGTGCACTATGTTGACAGAAATACACATAATGAATGCATCAGGGAAAATTCCATGGGGGAGGGGGCTGAGTCAAATTGGATGGATTCACTCTGTTCGTAGTTCGGTCAGATTTAGTCATGTCAAAAAATAATGTGGGCAACTATTTAGGAACATTATTTATCACTCAGATGGATTAGATTCTATGAGGATTTGGTATCTGAGGGCCAAATCTGATTCTACCAACTGCTGTTGGAGTGTCATTCACAAATTGGAAGGATAAAAGACAATTGATACTAATGGGTACTATCAGAGAGTAGCTTGAGGTAGCTGAAGTAAAAGAGTCTTACCCGGTTAAACCAGCCTTGATACATGTTTTTAAAATTCATCCTCACTTAAGGGATTACCTTGTCTTAATTTATAACCTTTACACCTCAGCTGTAGGAGGATTGGAGGAGTTGTATTTCGTAATTCATAAATGCAAGAGTATCAGTTAACATCTTCCGACATTTCAGTTGTGTTAATTAACTTGTTTGAAAATTTTCTAATTTTGCTGTTAATTGAATTTTTGTTGCTTGTTAGTGATGAAATCAAAATTATTTTCTCTGGCTCCTTTTTCTTTCTTCCTGCTACTTCTCTAACGTTTAATCCCCTTTCACTCCACTTTTTCATCTTCAATCAATGAATATATCATGATCTGCTTCATTTTCTATGTTTGATCTTAAGAAAATAGTGTCTTTGTATAGATTTTCGTTCAATAGTTTTGAAAACAAAAATTCAAAACTCTTAGATAAGAAAATAAAGTCCGCCGCAAAGTACTCAGAACTGTTTCTGTCAAATTGGTTTTAAAATTAATACCATAAAATTACTATTACAAAATACTACTACAACTTTACTACTAGTTCTCTGTGTTCTACAACTGTTTTGGTTTTCTGTTTTTTTCAGGCTGATGACGACCCACCTCACGCTTACTCGCAAATTTTTGTCCTAAAACCACTCGGTAATTCGTTCTATTGTGCGCATGACATTTTCCGCCTTAATATTCACGACTCGTAAGCCCCCTTTTTTTCTCGTTTTTTTTTTTTTTTAATTTAATAATTCACCAAGAACTGATTATTAAGGATTGAATGTGGAGAATGTATTGCATGTTGCCGTATCGGATCCCCGGTTGAGCTGTGAACATGCCTCGAGTGTTATCGATTTCTTAAGTTTTAATCAAAGTCTAATGTGAAAAAATGAAAAAAATCATTCAGTCTAAATGAAAGATTTCTTCTCATCTCTCATTTCGTTTAATGTGTGTCTCCGTTTTATTTACTTATTCATTTTCATATTTTAAGTGCAAGAGGACAACTTTTGATGGGAAAAATTTTCTTTGTTCAAATAATGTTACGACAAAGTCCTCGATTCTTTAATTTGCTTTGTTTATCCTTCAGTCTCCTCTGTTCTGTGTGTACGGGCTTTAATTCTATTTATTTTTGTATTCAAACTCACTAAAAACTTATCATGAAATATTTGTGTCTATTACCACTAATTAACTGTAAATGGGAAATAGATAAAAAAATAGGTCCCCTTTTATATGTCTTGTAAAGTATTCCACAAATCCAATGAAACTGTACGTACTCTTTAAATATTAAAGTTACTTTTTAATAAAAAACTTGCCTCTTATTCATGTCCAGCTCCTCTGTGCAGAATACAACTGAAATTAAGAATTTTTCCCTCAAAAGAAATTAAAACAAAACACCTTACAGGTATCTAGTATCATTGGCGGATCCAGCAAATTGGCAACATTGTCTTTTCTCCATTTAAACCTATGGAAATGTATAGATTCTTGGAGGGGCCAGGTGCTCTGACAAGAATCGATTATTTAGCATATGTTTAAATGGAGGAAATCCAGTGTTGCCAAATTGCTGGATCCGCCTCTGTCTAGTATGCTCTAAATCTAAATCTGTTTCATATAAAGTGGGGGAAAGGCTTTTTTCCTGCAATATAAGGCTATGTTTGCACACAAATGCCATTTATAATCATGTTAAAGGGATAGATAAAAACAATAATTTTTGAAAAAGCAAAAATTCAAGAATTTCACGTTGTAATATATTTAATTTCAATTTCATAAATGAAGTATTACAAGGTTTTCATGAAGGTAGTCTGATTGAACTTGGAAATAATTTAGAAGATCAATCAGTCTAAACCGACTTATTCTCTAGATTTTTCTCGCTTCATTTATCGGTATTTTACAACTGTAAAATTTGTATTTGCCTCAGGAAGATTTATGAATCATATTTTTTTACCAAACTGTAGGTTGTTCTCATTTGATTTTTCCTTGAAGATTCAGTCAAATTCGGTGACACTGAAACTTGAATTTTCCTCTAGGTTTAATTGCAATTTTTTAGTGAATTATGTAGCTATAGTAACGATCACCTATCAGCACTTTCACTCACCGAATAATGAACAAATAAACCAAAAACCATCCTACAAATTGCTAATAGTACAATTATAACTATTACAATCAAGACTATTACTTTGATAATTTGAAAATCGTAAATCTGATCTTGTTGTTTGCAATCATCACTGTCCGCTGAAAAACCTTCAGTTTCATTACACCGAAGCAGCCAGTATGTAGCGTTGATGCTCTCTTGTGTCAACATTTCACTCATGCTGAAGTCGTTATTATCTTGATACGAATAATTAAATCCTTCTATTAACGGAGCCATTTGTAGAGATTTTCAATGACCATTCAATTTTTTGACTGTTTTACCACCTAAATCTGCAACAATTCATGCATTTACATCACACATAAGTAAATACAGATTGGGAAACAAATAATCAGTCACAGAAACTGACAACTATAGCCCCCAAAATGATTATTAAAAGTTTAAGTAAACATGAAGTCATATGAGACATAGTTGAGTTAACAAGATCATTTGTACAACAGTTGGTAAATATGCGAGTAGCCAAGATCTTGTAGAAAAAATATTAACTTAATTTCGTAGAATTTTTGTCAGTTGCTGGGTATGAAATTTGATTTTTTTAACCCGCCTGAATCCCGGAAATTTTGCTGAATAAAATATTCGGGAAAATGCGTCTTTTTATTTTTATTTGTGCCCATTTTTAAGACAGCAGAGTATGTTGAGCCTCTTAGCGTGAAGCTGGTGTAGGGGACTCTTACCTTACTATATACCCACCCAACTCCCTAAAAACCTTAAAAAAAATCCTACTATACACTCTTATTCTTTAAACCCCTTGTACCATTAATAACCCCCTGTGTCTATAGATGGCTGTAGATTCCTATCTTATTTATATAAAGGAATAGAAGCCAAAAAAAAACTCAAAAAAAAAAAAAAAAAAAAAAAAAAAAAGACAGCAGAGAAATTAATTTAGGCATAAAAGCCAAGGACTCTTTTTTGTAGCTTTACTCTTTGAAATTGTACACAGATGAGGCATGCATATCTTCCCTGTCTAGTAGGTATAGTGTCAGAAAAGAACTAATTTAAGAGTCCCAAAAAAAGCAGTGCACCATTGAGCTTACATATGATGGTAAGCAATGCAGAATCGAACAGCTCAACACATGATCTTGTTAAGTGACATTTTTGGGATTTTGATCAATTCAGGTTTGAAGTTGAAAAATTAAATAAGGCATTTTATTCTGATAAAAAGCTAAACTGGTGTTGTGGAGATTAATTATCTAGGCGTGACTTACAATTTTTACCTGTAGATAATCTCTAAGACTCATCTCAACACACAACAATCAATTTTTTCAAAAATATCACTCAACAAAATCATTCCCTATATCCCTCAATCTTAAGTAGGCGTCTCTTTATTCAGCTTACCGAGCAGTGAGCAATTTTGGAAGCTCTTGTCGCACTTCAAATTGGAACTTTCCTCCGGTGCTTGTCTTTTCTCTTAACGCTGCCAAATTGATGAGACTAATCCTAGCTGAATCGGGAAGGTGCACATCATTATTTGAAAATCCATGGGCATTGGAATGCGTGCACAGCAAGACACAGACAGAGGCTACTATCGAAACCTCCGAAATCCAGTTCTTCAAAACTTAACACAGATACTTCAAAACCAGAGAAAAAGGGTAGGTATCCTCCACCAAAAAAGTTGTCCAACTTCAACTCACAGATCAAAACTGCCCCTCCCTGTGTGATAAGCCCCATCAAACCAGCAAACGATGAATTTAGATTTCGGTAGGAAGGTAATGTTATCCTCGCTGGTACCCCCCCCCCCTACATGCCCCGGTTCTCCCCCCTTGAACGATCTCGAATTGTTTATAACTGAGCCAGTGATGCGATCGGGCATTCGAACTGTTTTCTCCTTCTTCACCATGTGCAAATATTTATTGTTTTCTGGATTTAAATTTATAGCGCCCTCCCTGCATTTGGCTAGCGTCTCGGTGCTCGATCTTTCTTGGCTCCCGATCTGTCTTGCCGAGGAAAAACGCCGTATGAACCATCAGCGGTTGCCAAATCTTCGCCGATGAAGTATAGATTTTCAGGAAAACTTGTCGACAGTTTTCTTCCAGTTTTCTAGGGAATTTCGTCGCCGGTTTAGTCGAAGGTATCTGAAAATTTCAATGAAAACCATTCACAACTTTCCCCAAAAATTAATACTTTTTCTGGGGAAATTTGGCAACGTTCGGACGTTCATACGTCGCTTTTATTTAGCATGTGGCGGCGTTTCGGGCGCCCCCCCGCCACACCCGGTTGCGGGGCCACAATTTCGAGCAATTCGAGCGTGCCGCGTAATAAAACCGTTCTTTGAAATCGAACCGCGTGTTCTGAGTCTGACCAAGGTAAAAGAAATTTTCTCGCTTCCTCTTTTACAACGTTTCCGGTCGAGATTTCTGCCGCTGCCGTTTTCAGAGGAAACGACGTATGAACAATCGAATGTTGTCGAACTAGGAGGAGGCGTTTCTCGAAAGAGAGCAAGTGACATCATGCAGGGTTGCCGGCAGTCTGGAAAACCGGGATGATTAGGGATATATTCAGGGAATGGAGATGTTGCATGTGTGAGGAATTTGCGATTTGACTGTTGATTCTTATGTAAAGGTTCGCGAGAAACACGATGGTGTCACTGGTTTTCTCTGAAATCAACTCCCAAGCTCAAAGAAAGCTCTCAAGTTGAGGCCAAAATGGAAAAATTAGGGAAATTCAGGGAATAAGAAGATATTATGGCAACCATGGACATAGCATCGGCTGTTATTCGGAATTTTTTTAAAAAATGTTTTAGGTTTTTACTTTTAAAATTTATCGATTTGTCAACGAGCGAACGGTCGTACCGATTTTTTTTTTTTAAAGTTTCAAGGAATTTACTCCGTGGCATGAAGCGAATTCCCTAAAATTTTCAAGCGACTTGGCGCTACCATTCGTCGCGTCGGTAGAAAATAAAACTTTCGATTACAATTGTACATCATCTGATGCCCCTATCGTAGCCCGATTGCTCCTAATGCAAATTATACACTTTCCGGAATAATTGTAAAATCGAGTGTCACAATAGGGTGTTCCGTTTTCAGACAACCGTCTCAAAACCTTGCTCCCCGGGCTTTTCCCCATTCCTTTTGGTCCCAAAAAGATAATTCTGAAGTTTCAGCACCATAGCTGAAGTCTACACTTTCCCCCAAAGCGATGCAAATTTTGGAAGAAATTACATTGGTTTAAATGGGGAGAAAATAGGCAAATTCCCGGAACTACGTTTTTCGGTCGTAAAATGCGCCGAAATGATTTCGGACCTGACCATCTCTTGGAAAGTGATCCAGAGGCCTATTTTGAACGAGAAAATTCCACTTTTGACCCAAAAAAGGGGGAGGGGGGGTCAGGGCGCAGTTAGTTTTGAGGCGCTGCGCGCAGCAAAATGCTCGCATTTGACAGTTTTTGATCAACCTCAGAACAGGTCCTCCGAAGCTGAGGAGGCCAATGTATCTCATAAATTGTAATAAAATAATGTAAAAGAGTTGTTTTCATCCCTTCAGAACTATTTTCGACCATTTACACTGTTGCCAAATTTACTCGAACCTGGAAGGGAATTAGTGTATATCATCTTCTCCACTTGAGTGATTTTGGCAACAGTGTAAATGGTCGAAAATAGTTCTGAAGGGATGAAAACAACTCTTTTACATTATTTTATTACAATTTATGAGATACATTGGCCTCCTCAGCTTCGGAGGACCTGTTCTGAGGTTGATCAAAAACTGTCAAATGCGAGCATTTTGCTGCGCGCAGCGCCTCAAAACTAACTGCGCCCTGACCCCCCCTCCCCCTTTTTTGGGTCAAAAGTGGAATTTTCTCGTTCAAAATAGGCCTCTGGATCACTTTCCAAGAGATGGTCAGGTCCGAAATCATTTCGGCGCATTTTACAACCGAAAAACGTAGTTCCGGGAATTTGCCTATTTTCTCCCCATTTAAACCAATGTAATTTCTTCCAAAATTTGTATCGCTTTGGGGGAAAGTGTAGACTTCAGCTATGGTGCTGAAACTTCAGAATTATCTTTTTGGGACCAAAAGGAATGGGAAAAAGCCCGGGGAGCAAGGTTTTGAGACGGTTGTCTAAAAACGGAACACCCTAGTGTCACAATTGAATTTTCCTGCAAATTTCAATCCTTATCAACGACGTTTCAGCCGATAATTTGACGGTAGAAGATTCACAAAGTTTCTTAAAAATACATATTTTATCCAAAAAATACGGCAACATTCAAATCTCATACAACGTTTTTACACGGTAGACGCCCCCCCCCCCCCCCCCCCTACCTTCTTATCTCGTAGCTGAATAGACCTGCGTCCCCTCTCCCTCACTTTATTTTTATGGAGGCTGTTTATTATTCCACATGAATGTGCATGTGCCATCCGTTTTAACGCATTTAAACACGAAAATTCTATCATAACTTCGCTCGTGCATTTAGACCCCCGCTGGGAGGGGGGCTTAGGACAACGAGAGGGAGAAAACCGTTAGTAAAATCGCATCGGCCGATCAGGTTTTTTGGTTTTCAATTAGATCTCTCGTCTGACCATGGACGAAGCATTGGAATTTATGGTGGTTTAAGTACAGAAAGGGGGCGATCTCTCGTAATTTTGTAAACCACAGTCGGGCGGAGTTTCGTTGATTCTTCCTTGTTGTAATAATTTTTGGTAATTGATGTAAGTGGTATAGTAATGAACTCGTTAAGTTCAGTGTAGTCAAATTTATATTTTTTACAGTTTATTGATTGTCAATTTTATTTTATTTAAATTTCAAGTGAAGTAAAGCTAATAATTATGAAAATTATTATTAGATTAGGTAAAAAATCAAAATGTTAATAAAGAAGTTTTAAAGCTTATACTTACATTTACAGTTTAAGCATGAGCTTGCATTTCTTACATGAGCGTTTAAGACAGTGTGCTCCTGCGCTGTGCAAGGCTCACGTGTGTGCCAATTAAACTATTGAACACTACGCCGCGCAGTCATGGTGAGAATCTTACTATCTCTACGCTAAAAAGTAAGAGAAATTGAAACGCCTTCAATTTTTTGCGTATGCAACACAGACGGCCGTCAAGTACGAATAGTTGTATCTCAGGGTAAGGCGTTTTAAGGATCTATTTCTCCCCAGGGCCGGATTTACCTTCTTGCCGCCCATGGGCTGCCTGTATTTTGCCGCCTCCTCCTCATTCGCTCTGAAACTTCTATAAAAACCATCAAGTGAACGTGCCGGAGGAGGAGGGGTGCATAAGACGCGTCTACTCGTGTTGGACACATTTTTTGCGAAAGCCCTGTCAACATTGCTAGCAAAAGTTCCCGGAACTTTGCGCGAGGGTTAAGCTCCGTAAACCTATCTCTGTGTGGACAAGGCCTTCCATTTATAAGAAATTAACAAAACAATTATGTAAGAACAAATATAAATGTGGTTTAATCATTTTTACTTCCGCCGCCGCGCCGCGCTGACCACACTGTTGGCGCAATGCGTGAAGTATTCATCCAGTCTTGTGGGCGCTGTGCGTTTCACGCTGACTGCACCGCGTTTGATGCAATGTGTGAAGCATTCATGCAGTCTTGTAGGCGCTATGCGTTTCACGTCGACCGCTGCTGACCGCACTGTGTTTGATGCAATGCGTGAAGTATTCATGCAGTCTTGTAGGCGCTAATATGTGTTACATGCCGACCGCCGCACCGAGGGCTTCTTCTGTTCATCTCAAGGCCTCGTAATCATTGCTCTCTGCGCCGCGCCGCGCCGCTCCAGGGCAAGTTGCGTTAGAAATTACCGTAAGTACACTCAGGAGATGAGAGATTTTGTCGTCTTTTCTCGTTTGTAATTTTTTTTCTGAATCCGATTTTTTTACCTACATTAAAAACGAGAAAGTAAAAAAATTTGCCGCCATGGGCCGCGGCCCATATATGGCCACCCCTACATCCGGCCCTGTTTCTCCTAATCTTTCGTGAAAGAGGCATTCTTTTTCTGATTTTCTTTTTTCTTATTTTTTTTGTAAGTGCTACCCCGTGCAACAGTTTTGAAACACGAAAGGCGACTTGGAATGATAGCCTTTTTGAGAAGGAAAACATCGTAAACTAATGCAACGCTTCCTTCGTAAGTTCGTAACATGAAAAATAAATGAAGGTGTAACTTTGAGCTTTTTAACCGTGTGTCATTCTTTCTGCTCCCTTATTATTCCTAAACGAATAAGTTTTCCGAATCTCTGAAAAAATATAAAAGTCAAACTTATTTAAGTTCGGACTGGGGGATGATTTTTAGGTACTTTAACCAAAAAAGTCTGAATATTTTCAAGGGGTGGAAACCCCTAAGGTTCCTGGGTTCCACGTGGAAATAATTCATGCTGTCTGATTCTCGCCTATTCTTACGGTGTGAAAGACGTGCGCCGATGTCTGCTTTTTCTTCTTTTCCGTAAAATAAAATTTTCTGAACTTGGAATAAAATGGGGAGCTTACAAAATGTATTACTGTATCCACTTAGCTTTGGACGGCGAGTTTACTAAAAGGTAATGCGCAAGATTGGCATACGAAAATTGACCCAGACGTTTTGATAGTTTTAATGAACGATAGTTTTTATATCGTTGATTTTGACCTCAATCAGCCAGACGTTATCCAGATGAAAGCGCACAGACTTCACAAGCGCGTCAATTTGAATTTTCGCGCGCTTGGTGCTATCAGCAAGGAAGCGATGTCTAGTGGGCAAGTCTTGCAACTTAGCAATGTTATCATTATCATTTTCATCTCTCATAAGCATAACAACCCAAAAATCTCTGTCTGTTGATCTCATTTTTCGCTCTACATTTTCTTCGTGATGAGTTTGTGTTCAGATTCTTATCTCCGTTCTACGTAGTCGAGGGATCTTTGATAGCGGGCTCTCGTCATTTTTCTCGGAGTTAGAATAACCGGCGAGGCATATCAATTGGATTTTTGATCATGGCTAGTAGAGACAGATCATTCAAGTCTGAAGATGACCAAAGTGTGGAGGTAAGTTTATACATGAGTTTAATTTCCCACCTCCTTGTTTCCAGCCTCGTTCACATGGTGCCTAGATTTCCTCTTTTAATCTAGAAGCATTGAGTTGCCACAGGACAGTCTCGTGATGCCGTATCTTACTCTCAATGCGAGATCCCTGTCCGCAAAGACTTGAAAACCACCTCTAACACAGAAAGAATTGCACACACTTTACTAAGTACTTTCATCAAAAACGAATTTGATGTGACAGCTAGTTTGTATCAAAGTGGCTAAATGGAAATCTTTGAAAATGTAGTATTGATTTGTTCAGAGGACTCAAAACCGAAGATTCTCTAGTTTCTGGATAGTGAAAGTAAGTAGGTATTCCTTAGTATCACGATGGGACATCAGCTGGCTCGGGTTCAGAAGGGAGCCGAGGAGATTGCTGCTTACCATTTAGTTCTTAGCTTGTTACATTACAAGGAGGATTAAATTTGGTTGATCATCCAATCAACAGCAAAATATCAACAAATGCAAAAAGTGTTAGGTAAGCAAATGAATCAAAATTGATTATCGAGACCACACAGAAAAACCTGCCATTCCCTAACCAGGCTTTGTATATTTTGATTGTATTGCCCCAAAAATGCATCATGTTTCCCTGTGCAGTTCTGCAGGTATGAGACAAAAATGTACAAGTAACTGAATGACTTCTAGAAATGCCCTACTTAGCATGATTTTTTCAAGTTTGTGCGTTGTTGACATTCATGAATTTTTTTAATGTAATTTCAATTTAAAGTGATGTCATCTATTCATTATTCCAACTCAATTTTCCAGACCTTGGCAGAAGTCTTCAAATGTTTCATCTGCATGGAGAAGCTTCGAGATGCACATTTGTGTCCTCACTGCTCGAAACTGTGCTGCTATTTATGCATCCGACGTTGGCTGATGGAGCAGCAACAACAGCAGTGTCCTCATTGCCGCGCAAGTCTTCTTCTAAGCGAGTTGGTGAATTGTAGATGGGTTGAAGAAGTCACCCAACAGCTTGACACGTTACAAGCAGTCTCCAGTGCCGCCTCAAACAAAGGAGAGTCGGAGTGTGATAGGTATAGTTTTCTTTTCTCACTGTTGTCAACTCAAACACTTCATCATAAGGGTGAAATCAGATTAGAATGGCTCTCAATTTAACTGTTGTAATTTTCAAGTTGTCTCAATTACCTAGCATGACCATATACTTACTTTACACCAAGCGATGTAAAGTTTTTGAGCCTCTTCACAAATTGTCTTAAAACATTTTGAAACAGAATGTACACTGAAAAAAAATTGCTGAATAACATCCTGCCATGTTAGGACTCTATGCAACAACTCTGGAATGTCAATACGAACACTAAGGCAGTTAATACAACATCCTCACAACATTGATTGCAGTACCAAAGTGTTCACACCAACATTCCAGAGTTGCTGTACGGACTTTTAACATGGGGGAACGTTCATGTAGCAATTTTTTTATTTTGTGTAGGAAGGGAATGAAGAATGAACTATCCAAAATTTGAAATTATGCTAAATCAATAAAAATTCTGTGCTTTTATCATGATTCATTTCTGCAAATTAGATCTGCTCCAATCATATTTACGAAAATAAAATTAAATCAATGACTTGATTGAGTAAAATTCTTAATAATTAAAAGTTTAAAAATTGAAAAATTTGTACCTACCTGAATAATTATGATCGGATTCTTCACTTTTAAATATTAAATAAAATGAAAGAGTTGGCGAAAATGTGAAACTTTTGTACTTATAAAGGGCAGTACTATTATTATCATCTCCTTGATCCTGACTTCACAATTAAAGAGATCTGCATTTTCATGGCCCGCACACTCGTATCATCATTGATATGTTACCTAAAAACTCACAATCGGTTTCAAAACAAAAATTAAAATTTTGACTGTTGGAATATGTTAAATCATGTTGAAAATTCGCCTGTTCCAGGTGCCCGTTACATCAAGAAAAACTATCGGTTTATTGTTGGACGTGTAGGAAGTGCATCTGCCACCAGTGTGCTCTCTGGGGAGGTCACCATTCAGGGCACACATTCAAACCCCTCGATGAAGTTTACGAACAACACTATTCACAAATAAAGGAAGAAGTTGTTCAACTCAAACGGAGACATTCAGAACTCATAAGTCTAGTCCAGGAGGTGGTCAGTAGATTTCCTATATCAATGTTCAAAGTGCAAAACCACGTATCTCCATCGTAGTGTTTCATTATGTCGGCTCCTAGGTATTTTATTAATTTTAAATATAAGTTTTGGTAGCTTGAAATTTTCACAAAATCTTGTAATAACAGAGGCAAAAAAAAACCAAGGAAGTTTTAATGAAGTTATATTGAATTGTTTTCCAAAGAAAAAAGGAAGTTTGACAGGAAGTTTGCAGCGCCGCAAATGGAGATATGTGGTTTCACACTTTAACCATCAATATGCTCTTGTCACCCAGACTAAATATTCCAAGCTTTGCTGGCGTGTAGTTTCCTGTGAATAAAACTGATCTTGGAGAATATTCCTGATCAGTCAAACTTGGAAAAAGCGAAAGGAAATAGTTAGAAATTTTCCTTTTAAAAATGAAAGTTGTGGTGAAAGTGTGTGTGTTGAAGTTGTGTGTCAACCCTAACTCTAGTCACTATTAGAGGCCATTCTAAGATGCCTTGCGAGCAGATGAACCCTCAGGAAAATTTTTGACTTTAGTTCCTATCTTTAATTTAATTTTGGATCACTGTTGCTGGTTTCAAAATGTATTCATAACAGCTGACAACAAAACCAATTTTTGAAGCATTGCTATCAAACTCTTGAAGTAATCAGATCTAATGATGCCATAGGGGTTTGTGCATTTAGCAATAGCCTTCAACTCAGTAACAGCATATGAACACTACAGCTCATTCAGATAAGTCACATTCTTGCTTGGAGTGGGGTCAATATCTTTGCCGTTTACCAAACATAACTAACCTCTTTTTTTAAATGAAAAAAGGTCCGCATGCGGGTAAGCAGTCAGGAAGACTTTACATTGACTTTTATATAAGCACAATGTTTCGAAAAGGGGCTTAAAATTAAATAAAGTGCTCCACATAAATGGTAAATTACCATTACCTAATGGATTTTATCTTAGTTTGCAGGCATCCTGTAATATTCGAAAAGAGGGCAATTATCAAATCAGCAATTAGAATAGTTGAAAGTAGAAACAGTCCTGAGCTTCTTCTAGAGCTTGATGGAAGATTAGATGAAAATTGTATAATTCATTTTTTTCCTCAAATTGTTTCCAGAATCGCAATGTGGATTCTGTACGAGTCGCAAAGGATGAAAGAGTTCGTGAAATCAGAAATGCAGTGGAGCTAATGATAGCAAGATTAGATTCTCAGCTGAAGAATAAACTGTTAACCTTGATGGGCCAGAAAAATGTACTATCAGCAGAGACAGAGCAGCTTGAAGCACTGCTTCTTGAAATAGAGCACCAGTTGTATTCGCGCTCTAAATCAGAGCTCATCAATCAGTCAAGTGAATTCTCCCAAACGATCCACCAGATACGAAAAAAACCTATGGCCAGCTTCGTTACTGCTCCTGTTCCTGCTGACTTTCAGAGGTGACGCCACTAAACATTGATTGATATCTGAATTAGCATTATCATGTTTTTTTTTTCTGCCAGAAAAGTCAGTTGCATGCATCATACAAGATTTTGATAAATAATATTTTTACGGATCAGCAAAAATAATAAAAAATTGTTCTCAGGGCCATTGCTCTATTTTTCCTATCTTTATCTTTTTTAAAAATTTTAATGTTACCACCTTCTTTGCGATATTACAGTGAAAGCTTGGTAAGTTCATGAGTTGAACTTTCATCAAGGCAAAAATCCTTTCGGTGGAACCTTTCTTCAATACAAGCAAATTCCATCAGGCAAGGTGTAAGAACGCCACCAAAGACAATTCATGATTATTTCAACCGTAGAGTAGAAATTTGCTGATGTAGAAGAAAAATTTCACATTTTTTCCAGAATATAGTCAAAGAAAATAAGAATCAAAGGCAATTTTATGCCAGAGAAGAGTTCAACTACTTATGTTCTTTTAAATCAATGAGGTTAGCAGAAGTGAGACATCGGCTATTTACTTTGAAAATCATTGATTCAATCACTACAAAAATGCCTAGTGTCTTTTTTCTTTCATTCTTAATCAGTTTGGTGAATTTCAAGGTTTCAGTTTTCATTATGGTAAATGAATTTAGTGCTAAAACTGCAAAACGGTTAAGATGAAAAGTTAATCAAGTCAACATTTTCTTTGTTCCCGCAAATTTTTGTCATAAGAAGCTTTTAATGAATTAAGCTTAATCTCTTAATGAGTAAGCTGTTCAAATATATTAGAATAGATTTCATTGTAACTGATTTGGTTGGTCATCATTTTAAAACTAAAAGTTTAAATGTATTAGTGACTTTTGGAGACTAAACTATCATATGTATCCATTTCCACTAATTTTATACCAGCTTAAGCAGCGTGAATTAAATGTGTCGAGGGTCATTCCATTTAGAACCTACCATCCATGCAACCGCCCGACTCGGATTTTGATGATAATTTTTTTTCTTGATCAGACCACCATATAATGAACTTCTGCAAAATATTAGGTCTCAAATCGAAAAACTCACTGAGATATGAATTTTGGAAGTTTTAAGAATTTTCAAGAAAGAGACGTTTCGAACTTCCGAGAAAGAGAGGGTCATTTTCCCCCAAAAAATTCACCCCGGGCCCATTTTTCGTCGAAGTGAAAATTTGACACAATGTCCATGAAAGTATGTAAATTTGAGAATAAAATGCATAAAATGTTCGACTTCACTCATTGATGTGCTGCGGTTGATAGTTCGTTGTGATTTTGTCTGATTTTAGCGACAAAACCTTCCCCTCTTCAAATGCTCATAACTTTTGAGCTGCAAGTTATTTTTTGCTCCAATTTTTTTTAAAATGCTCCTAAGATTATTAGAAAGACGCCTAAAGAACAATTCTGATGGCGTTTTGGGCTTTAGTATCTTTTTTTTTCACTTTTGTCCGAAAAAGGCCTAAAAAACTGGAAATAACACCAAAATTGTTCCGATAATCGACCATTACCCTGAAAAGTCAACTCAAAAATCGCTCAATTTTTGCCTGAATGGTCCTTACTGTGTGTACAATATGTTTGAAAAATAAAATCAATGGTATTTTGGGTTTATATATCTTTAACTTCGAGTTTTTTTCGAAAAAAGGCCAGCAAAACTGAAAAACACTGAAATTACACCAATTATCGGCTCTAACGTTGGAGTAGCAACTCAAAAATTGCTCACATTTATACTGAATGGTTCTCACTGCATGTGAAATGCGTCTGGGGAATAAAAGTGATGGTATGTTGGGTTTCCATAACCCTTTTCCCAACATTTTTACTCAAGAGAGGCTCGCTCAACTGAAAAAAGCGCTAGGAAAATCTCATTAACCGACCATTACATTGAAAAAACAATTGATTGGGGGCCCAGATTTTTCACCAAAGGACTCTTGTTGTATGGGAAGCACACTAACTTGAGGAGTGAATTTAGTGTATTCTTGGTTGTAGTAGTTTTCCCCTTCACTCCAATCTTTACGATCGGCTTTAAAGTAAGGAAATAAAACTGTAGGTATCTCTTAACTGATAGGCATCTGTTATGGAATATGAGTATGTCACGGGTGATAGACTCAAATTCGGGTTGAAAGTTTGTGAGACCGTTTGGCACCAGTTGATTTTTAATAAAAGGTAGAATCAACAAACTACTAGAATGGATTGAGAATTATAGACACTGAATTTTTGGAGATGAAATTTAGAGCTGTACTGAGTCAAAAGAGATAGCACAGAATCACAAGAGTTAAACAGTAAAGAAAATAGTCACTCAGAAAATGTGCTAGAAGGGGAGAGTGGGCACAAGCGTACTTGTACGGGTCTAGATGGTAAAGAACCTGGGGTCTAAGAGATGAGAAAAGACAGACAGACCTAGGTTTTAGGGCAGCGCATGCTTATATAGACTTGCTGAGGTCACGGGTGGTGAGACAACAAGCCTACACAAGATTGGCTGGCTATAATCTATGTAGTTATCAGCTGCAAGTTTAGTAATTAAATTTATGGGTGATTCTTGGTGATGGCTGGGAGATAGGGGTGACGAAGACAAAAGTGGACGAAATCCAGCCATCACTAATGAGTGTTCTAAAATTAATAAGAAATATTCGAAAATGTAAGGCAAAAAGATGAGAAGGTGTTGACAGCATCCCTATTCACATTAAATGTGATTTACTGACTCCTGGATGGCATCATAATGAGGTTAATAACTTTCAAATGTATTCTGAAACAAAAATCAATGGAAAAGATAAAAAGTTCTAATAGGAATTATCAGAACATTAAATTGTTAAAAATTGAGGGAGGTTATTCATGCTGACTAGAGTTGAAGTATTGTAATTGTAGTTTTGAAAAATTGAGTTACCTATTTATTTCCTCAACATCTCAAGCAAGGGTTTCACTCTTAAAGGGTGGGAAAAAATATGTACAAAAATCATGTATTTGGATATTTTGCGTTAAAAGAATAGAATGTTATCCATGAAGTACCTAACTGTAAGGTTTGCCCTTGATTCACTCAATTCAGAACTTAGTTGCTTTTTCAACTCAAAGCATTAAATTTACTCCAAAAAACTTTTGAATTTTCAGATCTATAAATTAGACTGTTGCTGATATAGATTACGATCTTGATTGCCCTGAATAATTACTCTAACCCAGAGTAAGTTAAAGTTATGCTAGAAATCTCAACAAATTCGTTGTTGCGTGTGCGCGTGATAGGCATTGGTTCTTTGGGCTTGTTCTATCCAAATCAGAGGAAGAAAACAACTTTGAGATTTCATTTATGTATCCATCCGCGTCCGTGAATTAAAAAGTTTTTTGGAGTAAATTTAATGCTTCGAGTTGAAAAAGCAACTAAGTTCTGAATTGAGTAAATCAAGGGCAAACCTTACAGTTACTTAATTGATAACATTCTATTTTTTTATCGCAAAATATCTAAATACATGATTTTTGTACATATTTTTTCCCTCCCTTTAAGAGTGAATCCCTTGCTATATTCACTCCTCAAGTTAGTGTGCTTTCCATACAACAAGAGTCCTTTGGTGAAAAATCTGGGCCCCCAATCAATTGTTTTTTCAATGTAATGGTCGGTTAATGAGATTTTCCTAGCGCTTTTTTCAGTTGAGCGAGCCTCTCTTGAGTAAAAATGTTGGGAAAAGGGTTATGGAAACTCAACATACCATCACTTTTATTCCCCAGACGCATTTCACATGCAGTGAGAACCATTCAGTATAAATGTGAGCAATTTTTGAGTTGCTACTCCAACGTTAGAGCCGATAATTGGTGTAATTTCAGTGTTTTTCAGTTTTGCTGGCCTTTTTTCGGAAAAAACTCGAAGTTAAAGATATATAAACCCAAAATACCATTGATTTTATTTTTCAAACATATTGTACACACAGTAAGGACCATTCAGGCAAAAATTGAGCGATTTTTGAGTTGACTTTTCAGGGTAATGGTCGATTATCGGAACAATTTTGGTGTTATTTCCAGTTTTTTAGGCCTTTTTCGAACAAAAGTGAAAAAAAAAGATACTAAAGCCCAAAACGCCATCAGAATTGTTCTTTAGGCGTCTTTCTAATAATCTTAGGAGCATTTTAAAAAAAATTGGAGCAAAAAATAACTTGCAGCTCAAAAGTTATGAGCATTTGAAGAGGGGAAGGTTTTGTCGCTAAAATCCGACAAAATCACAACGAACTATCAACCGCAGCACATCAATGAGTGAAGTCGAACATTTTATGCATTTTATTCTCAAATTTACATACTTTCATGGACATTGTGTCAAATTTTCACTTCTATCCGACGAAAAATGGGCCCGGGGTGAATTTTTTTGGGGAAAATGACCCTCTCTTTCTCGGAAGTTCGAAACGTCTCTTTCTTGAAAATTCTTAAAACTTCCAAAATTCATATCTCAGTGAGTTTTTCGATTTGAGACCTAATATTTTGCAGAAGTTCATTATTTGGTGGTCTGATCAAGAAAAAAATTTATCATCAAAATCCGAGTCGGGCGGTTGCATGGCTGGTAGGTTCTATATGGAATGACCCTCTTGCTATATTCTCCATAATTCTCTCAATTTTAAGTTCTGTTGGTCACATGAAAACTGCTAGAATTACCTACATTTTTTTGTTTAATCCATAACCAGTTCCGCTTCTTCAGGTGATCAGTTTCCATTAAAGTGTATTTTATTTTTTCAGTGAAATTGTTCCATGTTACGATAGTTGCACTTTCATCATGCAGCAGTTCACGGAATTACAACATAAAGCTGATCCAGTTTATTCAAATCCTCTCTATGTTAACGGTCTCTGTTGGCGCCTGAAGGTCTATCCAGATGGAAATGGTGTAGTGCGTAGCAAATACCTGTCAGTTTTTTTGGAACTCAGCGCTGGATTACCAGAAACTTCCAAGTGAGTATTCCTAGGAAAATATATAAGTGATATATTAGTGTATATATTAATAATAACTGACAGTGAAAAAGCAAAACCATGTATGCCCATGGCGATTCTTCGAAATGGCTGCTCCTTTTTCCTTTGAAGGAAAAGAAGCCAATTTTCTAGCTTGAAATTTATACGGAATACCCTGCTAAGAGAGGAAGGAATCCATGAAATCGTTTTGACTAGTTCTTAAGGAAGAAATAAAAAATGGCAGGAAGTCGCAAACAAAGGTACGTGGTTTTGCAGTTAGGCCCTTAATATCCTGTATTCTGGAATTTTGCATAGTAAACATACTTCTTATAACATTTTTCAATTGCGTGTCGTTAAGTTTATTATTTCCTGTAAGTTTTAACTCATCAGAAGTTTAAAGTTTTTGCAAGTAGTGGTACCAAAAAAACAAACATCTAAAAAACCAAGTTTCCAAAATGAAGTTTTGTCATTGTACAGTAAGACAGGTTCTGAAAATTTTTCCCAAATCAAATGTAGAGAATCAAAAGAACCCCGCACAGAGCATGGGCTCAGCGGCTCTCGGTGAAAGTTGATGAAACTTTAATAGATTGTTATAAAGTTCATAATTAAGGGAAAGCCAAAAAATTAGCTCACTTTAACGAGTAGAAGCTGAGATATTCGCGATTGAACCCGGACTATTTTCTGTGCGGCGGAGGTAAATGGGCGCTCCGCGTCGCCGTCGCCTTACCTTGCTCGAGCACTTCGGCCAGGAAACCCCCTCTCCCCACCAGGTAGCTACAATGTCGCATTGTTTACACTCACAAGGGGAACTTACGGACCTGCCGCCTCCGATTGGGCTGAATTTTTTTTTACAGACTCTATGGACCAATTCTAGAGGTTAAGTTGAGCCGTTTTCCCGAATGCGCAATAGGAAGGGCGTAAAAAATTCCCAAAAGTTGCGTTTTCGGCGTGTGATTTGGTCATGCGGCGCGTGGCAACACTGAAGCAGCCTCTTGTACCGCTTTATCGGCCTGAAGGTTTCAGCGGAGTCCGGAGCCCTACTGCACACGTGCTGGCTCCATGATAGTGATGTCCCGGGTTCGATCCTCGACTTTTTATTTTCCGCATGATCACGTAACATTTTATTTTTAATTCTTCATCCGCATTTATAAATCAAGCAGTTCCGATCACTATCCCCCCTTCTCATTTTACGTACATTTTCCCCCGATATTTATTCACGTTGGCCACATATAATCGTATGAAACTTCATTGATATAAATTAATGAATTAAAAAGCAAAAGAAAACCTTATTTGTTACTACATTATCTCCCAATGTTTTCCTGGAAAAATATGTAATGTGTAAATAAATCAAAGAGCAACCCCAAACCCATGTGTACGCAAGGGTCACCAAGAAACACATTATTTTAGCCCTTTGCTTTTTAATTCATTAATTTATGTCAATGAAGTTTCATACGATTATATGTGGTCAATGTGAATAAATATCGGGGGAAAATGTACGTAAAATGAGGGGGGGGGGGATAGTGATCGGAACTGCTTGATTTATAAATGCGGATGAAGAATTAAAAATAAAATGTTACGTGATCATGCGGAAAATAAAAAGTCGAGGATCGAACCCGGGACATCACTATCATGGAGCCAGTACGTGTGCAGTAGGGCTCCGGACTCCGCTGAAACCTTCAGGCCGATAAAGCGGTACAAGAGGCTGCTTCAGTGTTGCCACGCGCCGCATGACCAAATCACACGCCGAAAACGCTACTTTTGGGAATTTTTTACGCCCTTCCTATTGCGCATTCGGGAAAACGGCTCAACTTAACCTCTAGAATTGGTTCATTGAGTCTGTAAAAAAAAATTCAGCCCAATCGGAGGCGGCAGGTCCGTAAGTTCCCCTTGTGAGTGTAAATAATGCGACATCGTAGCTACCTGGTGGGGAGAGGGGGTTTCCTGGCCGAAGTGCTCGAGCAAGGTAAGGCGACGGCGACGCGGAGCGCCCATTTACCTCCGCCGCACAGAAAATAGTCCGGGTTCAATCGCGAATATCTCAGCTTCTACTAGTAAAAGTGAGCTAATTTTTTGGCTTTCCCTTAATTATGAACTTTATAACAATCTATTAAAGTTTCATCAACTTTCACCGAGAGCCGCTGAGCCCATGCTCTGTGCGGGGTTCTTTGAAAGTTATTTTCATCCTTTCACTGGTTGGGCATTGATGTCTTTGAGTATCCGATATCTTGATTAATTTATTGCTGTGTACTTGTATCAGAAAATCAGGTTTTTTTCTGGAAAGTTTCAGAGGATGCAGCAAAAAACAGAAAGCTAAATTGGACGAACTAAATTAATTTTGGTCTAAGATCTCTCTCAGAGCGCCTTGAGTTTCGTTATCCAAGACACATAACTATTATGCAAAATGCAGTCACTGATTGTTCAAAGTGAAATTCATTCCTTTTTCTGGAACTTTCTGGAGATTTTGTAGCGTAATTCTTGATTTTTCCAAAATCAAGAAAATGAAGATTTTAATGGAAATTTTCTATTGCTCCGTTCAATGTTCATTCCAATCCAAGTCATTTATTTTCTCAATTTTCCCAGGTACGAATACCAGGTAGAAATGATACACCAAGGCTCCAGTGACGCCAGTAAAAACATTGTCCGAGAGTTTGCCTCAGATTTTGAAATCGGTGAATGTTGGGGCTATAATCGTTTTTTCCGATTGGATTTATTGGCTAGTGAAGGATACTTGAATGTTGAGCACGATACACTGATTTTAAGGTATCCAACCTATATTTGTTTCTAAGACCAATTAAATTATTTTAAACTAACTCACAGATTGTCTAAGGGCACAAGTTTGATTTTTTTGAGATAAGTTCTTTCACCTCCTCTTAATTTTTGTAGATAAATTCAACCTGACCTATATCATAGCCATGTGCATGGCTCACGCACCAATTGTAAAAATAAAAATAATAAATAGATAAACACTCAGCAGAAATGCAATCATAGAGAAAACCTACGTTTTTAATGTCAAGAAATAGACAAAGGAATGTCTTCTTTTTAAATATGAGGGCAACATTGTATAGTTAATGTTATCGATAAATGAGGCTAAAAAATTATGTCAACTTCGAGTCTTCGACCGACAACCCATTTTTTCACCCCCTTATTGACGCCGTTATTGATGCGAAAACAAACAGGTTACTGATACTCTTACTTACGTATCAGGAAGAGCGCACGGTAATCAACTTGTTTTAAACTCTGGACAAGGCAAAGTGGACCATATATACCATTTATATTTGGCTTAGTTTGAGAGTTTGTTTTGTAAGGAAATGGGAAAGTCCCCGCATTTTAAAAAATTCTTCTTTTTCAGGTTTCAAGTTCGTCCTCCTACATTTTTCCAAAAATGTCGTGACCAGCAGTGGTACATCCAACAGCTTTTGGCCATAAAAAGCATGCAAGCTCAGCAAATAAATGAACTGAAAGCTGTAAGTTCTTCCTGAAAATTTCCTTTCAAAGTCGATCGATTTTATGCATGTTCAAGGTTTCAAAGCTATTAAAGAAAATAATTTATATGTTGGTGGTCTCCGCTAATTTTGCGCTATAGATTGCACCGAGAAAGTGACAACTTGAAGTTTTGGATTTCAGCTGTTTTTTAGCACCATTTGCATCATTTAGCATATGACCTGGATTTTTTCTACAGTGTAAAAGCAAAACTGAAATTTGAACAAATTCAATTAGTTTTGATTCTTTTTAAATTCTTGCCTGGGAAGAAGAAAAAAATCATTTCTCTTTTCTTTGGAAGTATTGAAAGTCCCTAATAATTAATAATGAATAGTCAATGTCTCAAAAAATTAATTCAGAATCCTAATAACTAATTTCTCGCCTTGACAAATCCAGTTTCTTGAAATTGATCCAAGTGAATCTAAAATATTGTAAAAAATTAGGACAATCCTCTCTGATTTCTTATATGTCTTTAAATATTAGTAGATCTATCTCTGTGATTACTGCAAACCATTCAAGTAAATTTTCCAATATTTTATTTATCTCTTATTAACTACTTTTTTCAGCGTTTGGTGATTGACTCTTCTCGTAACATGATGAATGCTGTAAAAGGTAGCTCTTCAAATTCTACAAGCAACAATAATAACTACATTGTGACCGGTGAAGCTGGATTGGACTCTCCATCTGGCTCCGCCTACTCTGTACGCTTAGCAGAACCTCCAGTTTCGTCTCCCAGGTAACTTTCTACAATTTCTATCCTCTAAGCTTTTCCTGTCTATCTAGTGGTGTTAATTGAAAATAAAATGATTATTCTTGATTTTTTGGTAAGTTTAGTGTCTGCTGCCCGAGAAAATCCAGGAAGTTCAGAAATACTGATAAAGTACAGGAATTCCGTAAGGAGGCCCGCAATTTTTCGCTCCATATAACACGTGTCTTTGAGGACAGCCTGAAAAGTATGCAAACTGTTGCTTATTAATTCTTAGTGCATTATTCGCCATCTAGATTGCGTTTATGCGATTTTTTGTGACTGAGTATCTTCGCCATCAGTGAACTGTGGATTTTGTGGCTACATCACTTTTACAGCGTTTTGCGCATGTAACACAAATTTTCGAAATTTTATGAATTTTGTCACACAAATTAAGGTTTTCTACCATATGCGCCTCACTCTTTGAAATTAAGAGTAATAGTTTTTAGTTTTTCCCATACCATTCTTTTTCCTATCATTGCTAAGTTTTTCCATCCACTAGAAGTGTGATTCGCATGCTGTTGGACTGAATTAAGATTTAACTTCAGTTTAAATTTTCAAGTGCCCTATTGGCTCCTAGATTTCTCATTTATCTATGATTTTTTTTTCACGTTTTATCTAATTTTTTCAGATCATGCGAGACCGCTCAAGTCGCTTCCAAAACATCAACAAAACCAGCATCTTGGGAAAATGACAGTATTGTACCGATTCTGAATGCCTGCGCCCCCCTCAAAAGTCCTACGAAAATTCGACCTCTCACTGCCTCTGTCTCATCGCCAGAACTTTTTATAAACTCTCTTCGACTAGCCAGTCCAACATTTAGTGATAGTGAGGTAGGTACCCTTCAATGTCTTCAAGCAAGAACAAAGAACTATGAATACATTTACTTTTCTTCTTTTTCGTTTTTTCAATCAACGGTGTGATAACTGCAATGCTTCTTTGTGACAGGAGTTTGCTGGGTTCTTCAGTGACAATGAAGGTTCTCAGGAAGAAAACGCCAACAACAACTGCCAATCCCCTGTCAGACATTCCTTGGAAGAAAACTTCAATGATGAAAATGATGTTGATGATGAAACGATGTCAGGTAGAGAATCAAATTTGTATCATTGTTTTTCCTGTAGTAAGTAGCGAAACAGATTTTCGTATTTTAGTTCAATCTCCCTACTAAATATGTCTAATTTTCTATTCATACTCAGCATCCTTTTTGGGCGCTTCTGGGTACCAGATGCGCCCTTTCCAGCCGTTCGACTCCCCCGATGTAACATGTACTATACTACATACCGTTTTGCCTTATGGGTAATGACGCCATTCTGGTACACCCGGGAAAATTTGATTTTTTTCTGCATCTGGTATTCGTAAAAGTTTTCGTGAAATGTTTTGCTTTTAAGCATAACAATCTCGCACGGACGTACTACCTGGTTAAACTATTTTGGGGCTTCGTTATGCTTAAATGCCTCATATTCGAGGTTGTAGTTTCAGATTGATTCGAAAAAATCACGAACAGTCACGTGATCTCTTCATTTTAGTGACGTATTACTGTACTATTTTGTGATTGGTTCATTTTCTCGGCGCAGCATCGTCAAGCGTCAGCTGTTTGCGGCTCTGGGTTGAAGGTTTAAGGTTATGTCAGAGAGAATAGAAAGTTAGAGGCCCGACTCGATGCTAGGTAATTGAAACAGATGCGCTCGCAGCGCGCTCGCTGGCAACGTACGCAACTACTATTTTCTATTGTTTTCCAGAGACTAGCGGCGGGTATGTTGCTGCCGGACCACTTTGTTATACATCGTCCGTCCGCAATACTCTCGCTTGGCCGTATGAAAACGTTCCTCGCATGCGCAGTGTTAAAGAAGCGCCCTCCAACGCTTTGGCGTTGGAACTGCTTGTTTTTTTTTTTTTTTGACCCAAAAGGAAATGGATGTTTTATCATGGATGGAGTCTGTCACTTTCCAATGTATTTTATTAGATCAGAATTCGCCCTCATTGGTCTGCTGAACGGAGGGATTCAATCGCTCTTAGCCCAGCGATATCAGGCGTTGCCTAATTTTCTTTAACGTTTCATTTTTTAAACAGGAAACCAAACAACATTCAGGCTTGAAATGTAAATGTTGTTCTAAATAATTATTGCTCTTAAAAAAAATATTGTTCTTTATTGAAAGGAAATTCACAAACAAAAAAGTTTCATGGCGTCATAATGTTTGATTCTCTGTTTAAAAAGCAAAAAATCCGAATAAATTAGGCAAGTTGGAATGCAGTTCAAATGCGAGTCAAGCGCGTTGGAACAACCCTAAGTGCTGAAGCTTCCTTCTTTAAGGCTTTCGGGTCCAACTGTGTGAAAAAGTTGCACAGGACCTCCAAAAAATTGTAATTTTGGCCAATTTACCCAACCTATCTTTCCCTGTAAACTGGCAGTAATCTCGATTTGGGCATGTATTTGAGTCTGTCTCCTCAATATTGTGTATTGTTGTCAGTGGGAGAAAAAAACGTACACATGTTTTATTTTTGGTTATCTAAATTTTGTTTCAGGCGATAATGATGTTGAGTGTCCTCCTCCAAAAAGGAATCCGGACAAAAGTGGAAGTGAAGAGTGCGCCACTAAATTAGCGTTAGTAGAATTTGATTGTATTTTCAAAATATTAAGCACATACACACACTCTGTGATGAACTTTGCTACCTTTCTTGTCAGTTGTTAGTCATGTCTTATTTTCTGCAGAAAAAAATAATTAATTATTTCCTTACGTAATCATTTTAGAATGCATGAAAAAAATTCACAAAAGATTTCAATAGGAACCATTGGATTGTTTTCCTTTAAAGAATAAAACATGAGTACAGATCTGATACGTTGCAATCTGAGAAATGCATTTGTCAAATTTAGTCAAGGATATACTTCATGCAGACTCTAACCTTTTTTCCTTTAAAATTTTTGTCCTTTGAAATATTTTTATTTTCAAACAACTTGCCTTTACTTGAATTTTCACAAGGATTCAGCATCATTTAAAAAATTTTGTCAACTAATCAGCAAGTAAGAACTGATCTTCAACAATAGCTCTGCCGTGCAACGCAAAAACGCCGTGAACGCCATTTTACATTTTTTGGAAACAATGTATCATCGCAGAAAAACTTGTGTACCTTGGGACAATGTTTTTACAGGATTCTTTCGCTAATACTATCAAGAACTTGACCTGAAAATTTGAGGTGCATGGGTAAAACAGTTTTTATTTTAGAAAGTGTTAATTTCTAAAAAACGAGGGAAAATCTTGATGGATTTACGGCGTTTTTGCGTAGCACGACAGAGCTCTTCATGCTTATTTCTTCATTCATAGTCTAGACAAAATGTTCAGATTAGATTGTGTCTAACTCCAGTCATTTAGTTTTCTCATAACTTTTTCTATGTGATCTTAAAGTCTTTTTTAGTACCCTTCAGTTTTCTCTCTCCTTGTTGGTTTAGAGCTTCTAATATTGTCTCTATCCTCTGAAACTTTCATATATTTTTTACATGTAGATAGTTGAACATGTATTATCCCAAAACTGCACAAACTTTAGTGCTTGGCCGCTTTTTTAAATCAAGTTTGATATTTCCGGAATTGGAAATTTATTCTATTTTCCCTTTATATATTTACAGAGATGAGTTGATGTTAATGCAGTTGTTGTATGAGATTCAAGAAAGAAGTGATGATGGTTTCCAAGATGATGCTTCGAAGTTTTTGTCAGATCAAGCCTCAAAAAGAGGTCCTTATGATAACCTACTTTTTTCACAGCTTATGCAGAGTAAGTATAAATTTTATTTCGTGCAACAGATGAATTAAGTTGAAAAGAAACACAGCAAGTCGCATCAAGTTTGAATGGAGAAAAGAAGGTTGGAAGATGTATTCCTTCGTATGACTCCATATTAAGGATAAAGTTAACGACTGATTTCCTGTTCAAAATATTTTCTCTCAACTTCAAAATTTGGCAGGAGATTTACGACTCGTTAAATTCAAAACTCCTTCCAAATCATTAATTCCCAAATGTGACTTGGTACATTTCTGCTAATCTCGTTCCAAATCAATGTGTCATTTAAAATTATTGCGTGTCATTACAGTCCGGTACCGTTTTGGCACTCAATTTAAAATACTTAATAGATTTTTTATTCATTATCTTTTTACGTACTTATGTAAAGATTTTACGCTGATAGAAGTTCATCACAAAAATGCCTTACATCTGTACCTTTTCATGAAAAATTTGCTCATTTTCTGTACTTCTGTACCAACCTTTCAAAATTGATGCTTTCTCAGTGTATCCGTACTTTTTCCTCACAGGAGACTTCCTAATGAAGTGCATTTTACTTGTATCATTATGCTAAGGATATTAAAATTATGAGGATTATTAATGACGAGAATTCTTTTTTAAGGTTCTGAGCCTGGGCGAACCAAAGGCAGACGGCTTGTACCAGTGCCTGATGACTTTTCGTAAGTGTTTGATGTTTCCTCTTTGCATTCAACTGTTATACCTTTACTGTTTCTACTTTAATTCCTCACGCCCAAGTACATGATAACCTAGACCAAGTATGTAATGCCTTTCTCAGAAAATTTGGAAAATTTTAAAGATTTCTCATCAACAATTGATTTTTAGTTATGCATGCATTTAAGCTTACTATACTGTCCTGTAGCCTTCTAATGTGTAACAGATGGGGGCAAAATTTCCCAAAATCTTGAAAAATATGCTGAAATTGACAAGAACCTCTCATAAATGGTCAAATTCCAAATCTCTGAAGAGGGGAAGTGGGAAATCTACTCTCTTTGCCCTCCTTAATTGATGTCCTTTATGATATTTTTTTTGGTGAATCTCGTGCTTTCTCTTCGGCAGGATCCTTATTTATCTTCATACAATTAATTCTTGCACGCAGATTTCAAGTATGTAAAAGACTAATTATTTCACAGTCCCATTAGTCCCTGGCAAGCGATTTTATTTTTAAAAACTTTTTGTTTTGGAAACAAATTTCATTTTTTCTAGTGCTTTTTGGTGTCTTGCTTTCTTTTGAATTTTAAAAATGTCATAACTTCATAAATCATCTGAATTCACCCAGTTCTGTTTTTTTCTTTTTTTTTCAGAGATTTGGAAAGTCCTTCCGTGTCACCCTCTGGCATCAAGAAAGAGACGGACCAATCCGTACTTTATTATTCAACAGCTCTAATCAATTCCTTGAAAAACCGTAAAACAAGTGAGTCCTCTTTGCTTTTAGAGTCAAATTCCGTATTTATTTTGTTTTTTTGTCTTTTTCCTTACTAACAACAAGATAACTTTTAGTTAAATCAATTTTAAGCTCAAACGAGCATAGAGTCCAATCGCTCTCCAAATAAGATGATTTTGATACCAGCCAGTAATGTATGAAAATCTATCACCACCAGTATTTTTTTCCAGTAAATGAATCCTCTAAACCTCTTAAAAAATCAAAAGGATTTTAGAAAACTTCGGGTAACCAATGCTGTAATTTTTGGTTTTAAATTACAAATATTTAATATTTTATTTGTGAATAATTTTTGCTTCCTGTAATCCAAAGGTTACTCAGATGATGAAGGCATACCTCAGTCACAATCTCATTCTAAGGTGCAACCCCATGCTAAGCCCTTGCCTCGACCGAGAAGGAGGTATCATTCGAAATCCCGATCTCCCTCTTTATCGCCGAACAGAGTGAGTTTCTAAAATTCTCTTCTCTGTGTTATGTTTGTTTTATTGAACTTATTCTTGCTTTAGAATGTGATTTTTTTTTTTTCATTCAGCTTTTATAATTAGTCTACTGCCAGTCTTAGTAAGTTGATCTAAAATCTAACAAACCCAGATATGTATATGTTACTTCAGTTCTCCATTAACATCCAGATGTTGCAATTTTTTCTTCAAGCAAGAGCTGTACATCTTCAAGAAATTTTAATCAAATTTGAATTCATTTTAGAAACAATGTATGTGCCATATATGTGTCCTTATAGATTGGCGTTTCCATGAATGAGCCTGAAATAGTAGCTCCTTATTGCGCAATGCAGTTTGTTTCATTTATTGTAAAATAGCTGATCAAAATTATTGTTTAAAATTGTCTTCGAATTTTTCTTATAATGCGACATACATTCCCTCAAAATTTAAAAAAATAACGTTGTAAGTTTTTATTTTTGCAGATGAAATAGTCACGTGAACTTAGTTTATGAGAGTTTAGTTTAGTGATTGTTTCTCTTGGCCTGAAAACGGCGAGTTGTGATCAGTGATTCCAAGCGAGATGTGGCATGCGATATCAACACACATTGTCACAACACAGTTTTCATATCTCTATCATTGGTTCTCAAAGTAGGATAATTCGTCGCAGAGTTTTTTCCAAAATCATGGAGATTTTGTCAAGTCTAATCTAAAACCAATGTTGATGAGTCAGTAGCACGATAAAATTGTATTGCTTCATGCAAAAGTATTAAATGAGCTGACTTAACCACAATTTTTTTTCTACTATAGGATCACCGAGGGAAGTTACTTTGAAGTTGAGAAAATAGACTGCCCTATAACGTCACTTGGCAGCATTTCCCACTAAACCTGTGTATTTCAACACATCCATGTACGTCGTTATAACTCTCCTAATCCTCGTCTGATTTACCAATGATATCTTCATTCTTAGCTCACAGGGTGGTTTAATATTTAAGCAAAAGATGTCAACATCCTGACTCTTATCACTCGCCCATTATTCATTCAAACAGGAGTAATGGGATCGGTTTACTTTCTAAGGACGCAAAATCATATTTTGTCACCGTCCTTTTAAGTTTTCTTATTATCTGTCTTCAGGTATTCAATAGCGAAACTTGGCGAAGTCTGTTACTCTTACGAGATTCTGGGGAGTCAAGAGTACCACAAAGTAAACTCCTTGAATATCTGTCCAAAAACAAGGAGGTTGACGCAAGTGGAATCAGCTCTCAAGCTGTTGGTAAGAATTTAAAGGAATCTTATCACTCAATAAGTTTGCCTACAGGAAAACTGAATTAAGTGAACAGTAAAGCATTAAAGTCTTAGAAGACAAATAATTATGCAAACTGTAGCTTAATTGCTAGCATACCATGAAACAGTCTGCATTTATAGATGATAACAGAGCCTCATTCCGCTGATAAAGCCAGAAAGGCAAAGGAAAATTAAAGGAAAGAGGCGATGACTTCTTTTGGTGCAGAGGAAGAGGTGGGCCAGAGTGATGGAGAGAGGCTTAACAATTGCCCATCACCTTAGAGACAGTTCATAATATGTTGCTGCAAAAGTTCCTTAAAAGGGGGTTTTATTTTTTGTTTTGAATTGTACCATTGATCAAATTGGCTGGTGAATCTGAGTTGAAGGAGGGAACATCAACAGGATTGTTTTTGAGATCATTTACTTGAATTGAATTTTATTTCATTTTTAATGTCAAAATTTACAGCCGTTTTTACCTTTTTCTTCCTGCAGATAAGAAAAAAAATAAGCTACGAATGAGGAGTGATCAGGACCTAGATACTCCTGAAAAGGACAACTCAGCCAGTCGTGGTTGCAGGTATGTTTCTTCTGATATATTTTAGCAAACATGAAATAATATGAGTTCAGTCCGTGTATGAGAGGCGTTCAGTAATCTATTGCAATTTCCATGCTATTTAAAAAAAAATCAGTTGATGTAAAAAAAATAAAAATATTTTAAAAGCTGAGTACATGTCTGACTAGCCGCATTCAGGCACAAATGCAGTAGAGCTGTAGCAGTAGTACACCAGAGGATTTTTGTGGAATGATAGAAATGGATACAGAACTTACTGAATAGCCCTAGGATTTTAGTCCTTGTTTAAGCAACTTAGCAACTGGTAGAGGCTTTTATTTTGAAGCTTAACAAATGGGAGACAACAAGTGTAAATTGCTTGCTATCTTTCCGAAAAAAGTTTTGAAACAGAAAAATTTTACAGAATCCAATTTATGTTTCTTAAATTTTTAAATTTCTGACTCCCATTAAGTCTTGAAACACTTGAAATTTAAAAGGAAAAAAAATATTAGATTTTATACCCAATACCAAGGGGAAGAAATACATGAAGGAACATTCATCTTGAGATTGGCAGCAAATTGTAAAATGCGGAGTTTTTGAAATTCTGACAGCTAAAATGTGTGAGGATCATTTGGAGAGAAAAATACATTAAATTCCCGTACATTGAATGCATTTTTACTTCCAAAACATTCAAGACTCAAATGCTCTTAAAGCGTCTTCGTCCAAAAGCGTACAAAACTTTGTAAGCTATCATGATCGATAAAATCTTGGTAAGGCAGTAAAATTAGGCATATGATAAAGTACCAGATTTTCCTATTTTTCAGCAACTTTTTTGCTTTATATTTTTTTTACAGAAGACTGTTTTTTCGTGTTTTGTTCTTTTTTAAATTGATAAGCAGTCAATAGACCTTTAATTTTTTTTTTCTTTTTCAGTTCCTCTGGAAATTGAAGGACTACCACAAAGTATTAATATTTAAAAGGTCTACACCATGTATTTCCTGAATTTGTATTCTTCCTCTTCAATGACGCAGCACTGAGTTGGTAAAAGAGATTGTAACATATGGAGTTTTCTTTCTCAACAAGTTCTTCCTTGCGGAATAATTTTTGGTCCTGATAATCATATTTGATCTTTTTCAAATAGGTATATGTTAGAATTTTCACCCTCCAAGACTGTTTTTTGTTGTTCATGTTTATCCTGGTACAGGGTATTTTTAGTTTTATAGGAGACTCCTTTAGTCAACATTTCTAGGAGTTGAGTCCAAGTGCAATACGTTAGCCGTTTAAAAAATTTGAAGCATGAGTCCATGGATTTAGATAGCAAAAATATCTGTTGAGCTCCAAAAGAAAATCAGCAAATCTGTTGAACTGTATTTGATGTAACGTTTCATATTCTCTAGTGAACTTGCTTTGATGGAACTAATTTTGAACTTCGATTGAAATAATGTACCAATCTAACCAAGTCAGTTTGACATACTATTTTCAAGTTAGTTTAGAATGTTTTAATATATAAAAAAGTAAAGATTTTTTTTTTTTTACTTTGCTTGAGCTCGCCTTGAATGCACTAAAGCATCATTCGGCCTCAAAGTCTGACTTACAGATGAACACACAAAGGTAGCACACTTTATCACCCACCATATCAAAAGCTTAGTACATATTCCATGTAGAATAGGTTCAACTCTCATTACCTTTTGTATTGTCGTGTACATTCTAAGATTTGATATTGTTCTCCTCAATTTGACGAAACGATCTCACCAACATATTAAGTATAGTCATATGTAACTGGGTTTAGTATTTTGCGGAAAAGTGTGGGTTGGTTGCTCTTCTTACTGAATCGTACTTTAGCTGATGACCCTAGAGGTTAGCAAAAAGTAATGAGAATGGTTAAGATGTTCAAGCTCTTGCGCCAAATATGTATTGACACACTGCCCTTTTAAGAATGCCAAAGATGATGTCATTCCCTGCATTAGTATCTTTTCCAGTTTTTTCTGTGATTGCTCTATCTGTGAATGCATGCTTACATCATGTATCAATGCAGGGTTGCCGGCAGTGTGGAAAACTGGGAAAGTTAAGGAATTTGTGAGAAAAGTAAGGGAATTTTAGTCTTTTCCAATAGATTATCGCATATATTATAACTCGGATATTTACCCAGATCCCGGATGAGATTGTTAACTTCTGCTCTCTTAAATTCACAATATCTGTAAAATTATCTTCACTTCTGTTTTAATAGATGCGTTGAGGAACTCAACTGAGCCCTAAAATGGCAAATACACACAGTGTTCTCAATATTTATTTGAATTTTATAGCTAAAGAAACATCTGATATCGAAAGAGTAAAAACAAAATGAAATCTTTTAAGTCGTTGAAATGTTTATGGCGCTTCAACAGAAATGCATGGAATGCTAGATCTCGATATTCGCGTTTATTCAATTTTATTCAGTTTAACTGGTGGAGGAAATTTTAAAATTAAAGACTCTTTCTTTTCAAATGGCATCAATTTCTTTTTCTTTTTTTTTATTTTATTCATAACTTCGAGACACTGAAGCAATTCAGAAATTTTGCCATGAAGGAAGCGCCAAAATCGTCAGAAACATTTGGCGTCTTGGAAATTTGAAATTTATCTGCCTCTTCGCCTCAATAACTGACCTCATTAGGCCGCATCACACAATGACCTAAAAGTTGATTTCCACAATGTGTCTATTGTTATTAATATTAATATATATCTATTGTTTAGTTGAAGCTTGATCTCATTTGTAATGATTTTTGTTTCAAAACTATGATACATATCTCCGATGGATTCAATTTGAATCATTAAGTAAAGTATTGTGTAGCCGATAATTCACTGGAACTATCTTAAGATACATTATACTGGTTTTCAAGTTTTGTCGATCTCATGTTCATTTATTGGTGACTGACTCAACCTCTCAAAAAAGTCTGTAAGTAGCACTTAAAGTAGAGCAACTGATGCAAAACTCCCATAGATTCAGTGAATTTAAGATATAGTCATCCCGAATTAAACGGGTCGAGAATTCTCAATAATTTTAACTAAATACAGGTGGTGGATTCTTCAAGTCAATACTGGAAAATCAATTGGTCAACAACGTTCCTGCAACCCTTTCAGCAACCATTGTTGGGCGGAAGTGTCCATGCTAAAGAGTGGTACATTTTTTTTAAAGAAAGAGAAAAAAAAGTTAATAAAGTGGCAATGACTCCAAATTTATTTTTAAAAAAGTCTAAAAAACAAAAAAAAGCCTGTGATGGATCCAAGAAATTTTCACAATTCCTGATAAACAGTACAGTAAGGCAGAAAATCAATTAAATCTAATAAAGCTGTGCTAGTGAAAGCGGACCAACTGAGCACTAAGATTTTACAATAAATCAATGATTGAGAAAGCTTGACATTTTGAGTCTGATTTTAAGAGACCTCTACTTCACGCAGTGCGATACCTCTTAAATGGTTTCATATCCACGTTTACGTGTATGGACCATGCCTTAATGCCATACTTGACTGTGAGAATTTTCAATTAAGTTTTGTTCGTGCAAAGTTGTGAGGCTTTCTATGATAATAAGTAGCTTGCTTCGATTTTTGTTAGAAATTTAATTGGGCCACATTTTGCAACAAGGGACCGCTACTTCTGGCTCATTTTAGAAACAACGCATGTTTCATGTGTTTTTCCATGCAGATAGGTGCTTTTGTGGATGAGTCTAAAATTGTAGTCCCTCGTTGCAAAATGAAGTTCAATCGAGGCAAAGAATTCATGTGCAATTAGTTTTCCGGTCAATTATACCTCATTTTGCAATAAGGAACTATGTACATGCTGCATCTGGCTCATCCACTCTCCATCATGGATGTCCTAATTTTTCTTAAAGTGACCAATACCTCTGTAAAATGAATACTATAACCTTCGGTGAATATTAGTATCTTTGAGACTCACAAACCAACTGACAACTGCTTAGGAAAAATAACTTATAAATAAATTCTCAAAAATAAACTACCTAGTGTGATTCAAACTTCGATCGCAGCCGGTTCCTGAGTAATTTCTGATGTTTCAATTTCACCATGAAAGCCAACATAAAAAGCCTTTGATTTTTTAAGAGAGTGATTTCTTTACCAAAGCATTTTTTTCCCTTCATAAGAATAAAATCCCCCATTGTGCGTCTCATCCAGTTTTTGAAGGAAACTGATTAAAACTGGCATTGCAGCATCGACTGTAAGAGGTGCATTAGGCCCTCCCATTGCAGTTTTCAACCATCCAGGGTGGAGAGCCAATGCAAGTATCTTATCAGACTTCAAGTCAACACTCATTGACTTAGTTGCTGCGTTGAGAGCGGCCTGGAAAGAAAAGATAATATGATTAGATCAAATATTCAATTATACATTCGTCCAAAATACTTTCTTGCCTTTTAAACTAAATATTGTAAGTGCAAACAAATTTCATTGAAGATCCAGTATCTCATTCAGATATCAATTATCCACCAAAATTATTTCAACTTGAAAATAAATTCATAGTGCTCAGCGCCTGAGTTGCAAATTGTTTTAGGCCCCTGCATTTTTTTGCCCCGTTGCAATAAGTAGGTATTTATAAAATATAACTAAGTAAGACTCAAGTGTTTGATAGGCCCAAAGTAACCAAAGATAAGCTAGAAATTTTATTTCTAGGTAGGATCATTAAAATGTAAACTTCTGAATCCTTAATTTTTTTTCACATTGAATTTTTTAGGAAATGCATCTTTTCTAACAACCTGCACTGCCATTAGGAAGACTTTTTTTGTTTTAGAGGAAGCTCATTCAATCAATTCAAATGAATTAATCAATAATTAATAAATCTTGATATAAATCTGAAATTAAACTACAATAATATGTTATTCACAAATATTTATCTTGAAAAAAATAATCTTGATTTACCTTGCTCGTACGATATGGGTAGAAACCTCCCTCAGTATTCGCTCCCATTCCACCCAAAACTGAACTAATATTGATGATCGCTGCTCGACTAGTCCCCACTGGTTTGTCACTGTTCTTCGCTGAGGCTTCTTTTAATAATGGAACAAGTTTCTGAAAATCAAGAATTCTATCAATTAGGGGTGTTTTACCAATTCAACAGTTTTTGTTTTTTCTTTTTCATAGAAGTCTCGCTTGGCAGAGAGGAAAATCTGCGTTAACGTAATGCAAAATCTCCAAAAAGCTTCAATAAACTCGAATAGCAGATGCTCTACTATCAATTAGGTTATGAATAGTAAAAAAAAAAAAAAAAAAAAAAAAAAAAATCCAAATATAAGGTTCTTTAAAATACAAGGGAATCTTAATCATTACATGGTAAATGCAAAAGTAACAGTTTTGAACAGGCGTAAAGGGACCAAAATTCTTGTGAGTCCTTTAAGAATTGATAATTTGCAAAATCTACCTTGGCTTCTAACTGTGAAAGAAAACTCACTTGTGTTAACATGATTGGTGCTATTGTGTTGATAAGGAAATGGTCTTCCAAGTCAGTTTGCTTCACCATCCCAATCCTTGTGAACTTGGAAGATATACCAGCACTGTTTATTAAAACATTCAAGCCTTCCCCTGAGACCTTCTCTTTAACATAATTGAAAATCTCATCATAGTCTCCAGTGTTTCTTAAATCTGAAATGAAGATCAGTAAAGAGAACAATATATGACATAGGTGGAGAAAAAAAAAAACTTGAACTCACAGAAGAAATATTAGAAATCTAATGGCTTCGTTTATTTTCTGATTTTTCTTTCGATTTTGATTAGGTTTGGTTAGAAATCCACTACTGACTTTGATAGGTAGAGATTTGGTCCCCCTCCTCAATCAGCTCAAAAAAATTTAAAGAAAATCAAAATTTTCTCGGAAAAGTTGACTTTCCCGAAATAGTCTTTCCTTCTAAAGTAGATTTTTAACACTGATTTGGAATCGTTCTTTTTTTCAATCAGCCTGGGTTTTGCACAAAATATTAATTTTCCACAGCTGATTGAGAGAAACACTGTCGGGTTTAGAATCACCATTAAACATATTCTCAGAGAACTCTTGATTTAGTTGTCAGTAAATTCACTTTAATGGCTGGTAGTAGTTAGTTTAGTAGTGTGTTCGAATTTACCATCTAGGTATTGTGAATGGGAAGCTGGAAGAATTTGAAAATAAATCCTCGGACTCTTAGTTTCATGATGATAAAAAACTGTCAAAATTAAAAGGGCGAGGACTCAAGAGACAAACATGTGATGTGAAGTCATTCCTCTTCTACTTGCAAAACTTTTACGACAAAACTTTATGGAGACAAAAATGAGAGGAGAGAAGTGGGAGAAAAAAAGACCTTATGCCAAGCCACTGCAGGCTGAAGTTTGCTGAGCACGTTTACCATCAAGGAATGGAGGAAAACTCCTTGCTCTTGAAGACATTTTCATTTCAATGAGAAATTTGCAGCTGTATCAGAGACTGGAAAATAATCTTTTTAAGAAAGCACTCAAAAAACTTACCAATTTGAATGATGTGAACATTCTGATTGTTCTCAGCAATTTGCTTCAACTCCTATAAAATATAAATAATTAAAATACTTATTAATACCTAATAGGTAATAATATTTGAAAATATGAATACTAAAGAATGAGGGAAGAATAAAGCAATGAAAAACTATAACATTGTGAATCAAGGAACTATTCTCCATGTCTTCATCATTTCAATTCAATTTCTTAATGCATTTTCAGCTATTTAATTGTTAATGTGAAAAAATAGCATCTAACTATTTTTTTTTTTTATTCATCTATTTTTTTTTTAAATAGTTTTATTTATTGTAACTTCCAATTAGAGGAAACATATACTGTTATCATAAGTTAGGAATAATGTATGGTAAAGCAACGACTGGTTAATTGCCTAATATCATAAAATTAATCTAACTATTTGAAAATTATTGCTTCTATTTGTTTTTTGGCTGTAAATTGAATGTACACCTTCAAAAAGTACGTTCAAGTCAGTAATCTGAATTCGCATCCCAACAGTAAGACCACCTGTTGCTTGACAAGTTCAGCAGGGTTTGTGCTTGCACTTGAAGTACTGGCTAAAATTCCTCAGAGGATTCTCCAAGAACTTTTGAACGGCTTGATTCGCCTTCAATTTGATAGGAAGGCAATATGCAGTACACTGGCATCGATTCACACTCTGATGGAAGGGGGGGGGGTATACGGAGAATCTTTAAAGAAATATACTGTCTTTTTCGGAGACGTTTTGGTACGTTTCAAAACAATGAGAGTAGGAGACCGCTTTGAAAGGTCCTCTGTCTGTCTCGTACATATTTGCGACCATTGATCATGCGATCAGAAAATCTGCAATTTACGGGCGAAGCGAAAAAAGTGCGCACATTTGAAACCCGCGGCAAATTTTGATCACAGTGTGGTCAACATTCGCAGATATTTGGGGGCAAAGTTAAAAGTTCCTGTTCGTCGCATCCTGAATTAAGTATAAAAAAGAAAAACACCCGTTTTTCGTCCCGATGTTACGTAAAGCGTAAAGAATTTCCTCTCACAACTTGGCGGTGTTGAATCACGGTGCTGGGATAATTTAATCGGTGACGTCATTAATTCTTTCATTATAAAAGCACTAGTGTTTGATGCAATCAAGTTTTTCAACGCAACAAACGCGATCACGGAGCAAAGCGCTGCGAAGCGGGACTATCGTGAAGGAGACCGGGCTGATAGCAACCGAGTGTGACACGGCTAGAAAATCTTTTCGTCGAAATTTCATTGTGTTTTCCTTCGCGTTACCACCGGCGTGAAGTTTAATCGAAATAGAGTGTTTTCGTGTGCGAGGAGTCTCAAAATGGCACCAGTAACTGCAGGTAAGTTCTGATCCACGAGGAGAAGTCATTTACTGTGTTTTGAAAGCGAAAGTTACGTACCTGAGCTTGGTTAGGATTTCGACAAGTAGCGAAAATATTCTTCGGCGGCGATTGTAAGGCGACCAAATGCTTCACGAGACCCAGTCCAATCCCCCTGTTACAACCTGTGATCAGTACAGATTTCATGATTTTATTTTATAATCCGACCCTTCGACACTTTTCCAACTCGTCACACCACTAACACTCTGACAATGACTTCCTTTCAGCGTTTGTAGATGAGCAGTCTTTGAGGAGGAACAGCTGTGCCTGAAAACTCTTGCCAGTGTTAGAGGTTAGGTTGTTGTGCAATCACCGTAACTTTTCATTACATAATTAATTCCGGGAATGTTTATGCCTTTTTCAAAGTAATTTTTGTGAAATCCATCATAATTCTAGTCAAGATGTATTCGTGATACATTTGTGCCAGTTTTCAATCAAGGCCAAAAGTTCTGTTATCAGAATGTCATTCCTGGCCACTTGCAGGGGACATGCTTTCAGAGTATTGAAACAAACCGATTTCAATTTGGATAGATATGCCAATTTGCTGAAGTTTAACATGTCGGCGGTTTATTTTTCTTCATGTCCAACTAAAGGTATCTTAACCATTCCATTTCCTCTTATCTTAACTTTATCTAGATGACTGTCTGATCTGTCACTGATAACAGCTCTATTGTTATCATTTCAGTGATAGTGTGTTTTGGTTGTTTTCAGCTTTACATGTCCAACCCATAGACATCAGATGATTCTATTCGTTTTTTGTATCTTTTCACTCTTGGTCACTAACCTATCTTTTTTTCTACTTCCGCTCTTAATCCTTGTCACCATCACCAAGTCTATGTCCTTTGAAATCATTAGAACGTTTAACGTATTCTTCTCTCAAAGTTGAATGTTATGTAAGGCTTGCGTATTTTTCTCTATCTTTGGATTGACAATCCTGTATTCTGTATTTTTCCGAAAGTTATTGAGGAAACTTTTTTCTCCACTTTATGCCGAGTATCACATCAACAGAGCTAATACATGGAAAGTGATTCTTCTAAATCATGGGCCGGGAGTTACTGTGATAGTTTTGTGTCAGATGGATCTACCAATACCACAGACTCTTTTGCACCTTTCAGCAGAAGTTCTGAAGATCAGTCAGAATTGTCTAGTGTCACCGAATCACTTCGTAGTCGTGGATTGCTTTACCTCAAGTTTTTTCGACGTAGTATGTATTTTTCCATTTTCAAGCATACCTTTCAAAACCTCAGCAGGGTGTCTACTAGTCAGGAAAGTCTGGAAAAAGTACGCATTTTTTAAGTTCGGTCCGAAAGTTCCTTAAAAGTACGTAAATCTCGCGGAGGGTCCGTAATTTTTCGCATTTTGCACTGCGCGTTCAGTTTGATCGCCTCATAGTTATGCAACCCTCTGTGCGTTGGCCGTCAGGCGTATTAGTACAATGTCAGCCTGTAAGAACGCAGTTGTTGTAGAGGAGCGGAACAAAGCATTTCCCTCGATTAGACAGACACAGCCAAAAAGGAATAGCCGAAGCAAAGCGCGCGGCAGTGCTAAAATCGAAGAATTGCGATACGTGGCAAAAAGGTACTTAAAAAGTACTTAATTTTTCTCCAAAGTGAGGTACTTAGGTAAATTTTTCCTTAAGTACCTAACAAGTACTTCAAAAGTACTTATTTTATTTTTGTGGACCTCAGTAGACACCCTGCCTCAGCATAAAATCTTATCAGTAATACTTAGAGGTTTTCTCATGTCAATGAACGTTCATAAAATGAACCTGTTCACCAAATAAGTACGTTCTTACTTATATGGACATGAAATCCAGGTAGATTCTATGTCATGTTAGTTGACTGACTTTCTGAATGACACAGAAGACATATTATCCTCATTTCAGCATCAGAGGTAAATGCAAGGTATAAGCTGTAAACTGCTGGAAAAATCGTTTATTTTCCCGGGTATTGAGTTTAATCACGTGTCATTTTTTACTCACGTGTCATTTTTTACTCACGTGTCATTTTTTACTCTGTCCCGAAACTGGTGGAAAGATTGTGTGTATGCTAATATTGAGGTGAAATATGCGTAATCTTTTATGTTTTTACAAAACCGCTGGAAAGATTGCGCATATGCCGCGACATTGTAGTAAAATACGTGTAATTCTTTACGTTTGTACGAAACCCCTGGAAAGATTGCATATATGCCGCGATAGGGAGATAAAAATCGCGCATAAGTTCTTATGTTTTTTCAAAACTGCTGGAAAAATCGTGTATTTTTAAATTTTCACGGAAATTTTTATAAAAATGATCCGTGAATCAACATTGGTCAAAGCGGACGCCGAGCGTGCAACTATTCGAACTCCGGAGTAGTTATGTGGTATCACGCGAAAATGAAGGAGAATCTTAGCTTTTCGCCTGTCCCATATCACTGACATAAATAAGTGACGCGATATTCATGAAAAAATGCGTATAATTAAATTGCCTACTTGTTTTTTTCAAAACTGCTGGAAAAATCGCTCATTTGCCGCGATGTTTAGGTGAAAAACGCGTACAATCTTTTCTTTAATGCCAAACTGCTGGAAAAATCGCGTATTAATTGTAATGTAAAGGTAGGGAAAGTCCAGGAATTTTGATGTTCGAGGTCAGTTGCCACCGCGGTAATAAATGGTAATATTTTATTTGCCGATCGATAGTTTCATCAAAATTATTAAAAAATTTCTCCAACACACCGTCAGACTTTTTGTCGCCCATTGTTCATTCTGGACTATATCCCCTCCCTCCTTATGCATGACGTCATTTACGAACTGTCCCACCTCGTAGAAGTTATTGTTGCGAGATAGTGCTGAATAATTAGAACTACTTCCCATTGAACCCATGTGGAATGTCCACTTTTTTTTGCATAACCTGGCAGCCTTGCATTAGAAGTGTATCCGATTGTGCAATAGGTTTACAGTCATTACCATTGAAGCGATTGTGCCACTAGGAGGATCTCAATCTTTACAAACTATTCCCGTAAAAGTGGAAAATCCCTCTGTGGCGTCATGTTTCGAACTACAACTTTCGGCTCGTCTGACTCTAGGCCAATAGGTCCCGGGTTCGAATCCCGGTGGTGGCGACAAATTTTCATGGAACTGACGAGTGGATCTGCAGAAACAGATTCCACTCGGCCTTAATCCCTGAAAATTTGAAAGCCTGGAGCATGGATGTGCCTAAATCCCATGATGTCTAAGGACAATAAATACTGTCTATCGATGGCTGTAGGTTCCAACGGAATATAAGCCACTAAACCAGCAAAAAAAAAAAAAACTTTCGGCTCATTTCTGAAACAACCAATGCACCATTTGTTTTCAAATGAACACACGTATTTTTATAGATGAGCCAAATACTTACTGTAGTTCCTAATTGCATAATGAAGTCCAATTTCCGATCAGTACCAATTTGCTCTGTATTGACCCCGGTAAAACGATCGGGAATCGGTAGAGCTATAAGTCATTTGGGAACTACTGGGAATGTAATCGGCATATTTTCTTTCGATGGCGAATCGGACCGCGTTTAGCAGAAATGAACCAAGCCACATCCGCTACTGCCTTTAACCGGGCAATTACATTTCTTTACAAGAGAACGCTTTTGCGGATTTTTTGAAAATGTCAAGGAATTTGCCTCGCACTATGCAGAAAATTCACTGAAATTTGCACAAAAATCCTCACAACCTCGTGTAAAAAATTTAATTGCCCAATTTAATTTGGCAATAACGAATGTGACTTGGCTCCTTCTTACCTAATGCGGTTCAATAGCAGGGTGTCTAGCATCAGGATTTTCCGTATTTTCCCGATTCTATCAGAGTTTGAGGTCAATCAGGATTTGAGGAAAAATTGGTCCTTAAATCAGAATTTGAGGAAAGTCGACCATACGATCGGACTTTTTTATCGAGCTATTTTTGTGAAGTTACATTCGCCTCCGCAAAAAATCAGGATTTGGAAAAATTAGGAAATCAGGATATAGCAGTCCAAAATCAGGATTCTCCCAAATGAAAAAAAACTAGACACCCTGAACTGTGAAAGTGCTAAAATCCCTCGCTAAAATTCCAACTTTCACGGTTTTCTCCCAAATGTGCTGGTTACACGCTCAAATTCCCATCAATTTCCGATCAAATGGTGACTCGTGCGCACCATCTACCATCAAATTTCTGCGGCCTGCAAAAATTTGATGGTAGATGATAGAACTGTGGGGCTCATCCAGAGACAAGAGACCCTCCACTGGCCTCCTAGCGACAGGTGGAAGATTTTACTTTCGGGGATTCAACAGTTCTTTACGGACAATTATTAGGGAGCAACAGTCATCACCTCAATTTCGGCTGTTGACCTACCTACATGGTCAATGATGAGCTTCGGGTGACGTCATGAGCCAAACAAGTTTCGCAAACTTCGGCCATTTTCGACTTGTTTGCGAAACGAAACTGCCAACACGTTGTTAAACATCAACCATGTAGGTAAGTCAACAGTAGAATGCTGAAGTCCCGAAAGTAAAAGCTTCCACAATGGCCAAGATACTAGTGGAGGGTCTCTTGTCTCTGGGCTCATCCGTCATCTGATTTCCACACAACCGTGCTTTTTTCATGCTTATTTCAATCAACACGCTGTTTCAATTAATTTTACTCATTTATCTAGATAACTCTCGACCGCCATCTTGGTCATCATTTTGATCGGAATTTGACGGAAAGAGCGTGTAACCAGGCCAAAAGAAAAGGTAGCATTTCAATATCGGAAGGAGCAAGGAGAGTTTTAACGTCCAACGTGAAAAAATCCCTGACGTAGGACGTAGTAATTTGAGACTAACTTAATCGTTCCCCTCTTCGCATCGCGCACCTTTCGTCGTCGAACGGTGCTGACACCTTGAATCCATAGTCCGGCAGCTTCCGAAATTACCTTCCGAAGCATGATGGATGGTGCTCGGTTACGTAAGCCTTGGAAAAAGACAGTCAAATCGGTCAAACTAGGCCGTTTTGTCGAAGGTAAAACGTTCGACGCGAGACGTCAATTCAGTCTAAACATGACTCGGCTGTGCTAAGGAATAGCACCGTTTGAGCTGTACGACGCTAAATTTCATTTGACCAAACAAAATTTTTCTCGGGCAGTTGCGAATATTTTACTTCCAAATAATTTGCACCGAGTTTTATTCGGGATTTTGCCTAAAGTACATCCGAAAAAATGTTCGTAAATATTCTCCGAAATAATTACTTTATCGATAGAAGTAGCAAGTTCTTATAATGAGCTAGAAATTGTAGTTCCCAACTGCAAAATGTAATTCCTAAGTAATAGGAGAGTGGGCGCCTCATCAGTTTATTTCAACTCGTAAATCCAAGCTTGTCCACAATTTATTTAGAAGTCACTGCAGCGTGCATTCATCCAGCAGGGATTCATTTGAACAACCCTAAATGTCTCATTTTTCATTCAATTTCTTTCCGTTTCATTTGCCGAAAATCATGGTGAACCAATAGAAATTTTTCCCCTATTTGACTTTATGACGCTGGTTCATCGAGGTTGCCCTTTTCGCAGTCATAAAAATTCTCCCCGTGTTCGACTAACTGACGTCATTTTGTTAAGGTTGTC